AACCAAAACTAAATTGTTATCTGACCATCTGAAAAAATCAGGACGAGAGAGAGAGAGAGAGAGAGAGAGAGAGAGAGAGAGAGAGAGAACATCAAATTTCCCCAATGGACCAGTTTTGAGCAGCATAATAGTAAAGTCCTCTCTCCTTTAATCCCTATCAGTCTTTAATCCTTACGAAAAACATAACCCAAAAGAACCTAGTATGAAGTCATCAGTTATTTTCCTATTGTTCTGTCTCACTACAAGTTACAAGGAAAGTAATTTTGAAACCAGTCTTGTGGAACATTTCCTTGTTTCTGCTTTTTTCGGCCTTTTTCTCTTCTATAAAACCAACCTCCTCTGCTAGGCTTATTGAAACACACTGTTTCATGGAATGAAGTGTTACTCTATTCTAGAATGACAAATTAAGTCAATTAAGGGCCCCCAAACAGTGGGGAGTTGGCCCAGTGGCAGAATGCTGCCTGGCATTATGGTTTCTATCTCCATGTCCCACTAAAGCCTCATGAGCTCATGGGCGGGCCCTTTGGAAGGTGACTAGATTATAAGGGCATTGTCGCTGTCTTGCTGTTAGGAGGTGGGGCCTGGTTGGAAGATGTGGGTCACTGTTAGTATGACCTGGAAGTTTATATCTCCCTTCTTGGTCCCTCCATTAATTCTGTCTGCTTCCTGTCCACCATGCCAAGAGCAGCTTTCCTCTGCCATGCTCTCTGCCTTGGAGCTGCTGACTATGGATTGAAACCTCTACAAACTGTAAACCAAAATAAACCTCTCCTCCTTTAATTTGCTGATGTTGGGTATTTTGTCCCAGCAACAAGGGAAGTGATTAAGACACCTGGTAGCCACAAGGACCTTGGTTCCATCCTCAGCACCACACAAAAAAAGATGGCCTGTAGGGTTGCACTGAAGACAGAGAAGGGCACCTCTGGGCCCAAGGCCAGTTCTTCCCAAACTAATTTCTATACAATCCCAACAACCTGGCAAGACAGGTTGAGCAGAGGCCGGTGGTACACACCAGGGCTGGGCTGAGCAGGATGCTGCAAGACTGAAACCTAAGCCCACCCTCCTCATGGTACCCTGGAAAAAGCTGGGCTCTGAGTTCAGAGTGTGACATTCAGAACTTACATCTCAGAGCCTCAGTTTTCCCACCCATAACAGGAAGGTACTACGGACTGTGTAGTGTGGCTATTTTATTTTTTGGTACCAGGGATTGAACTGAAGACCTTGCGCTTGCAAGGCAGGCACAGTGCTGCTGAGCTAAAGCCCCAGCCCAGTGTGGCTATTTTAAGTAAAATAATGAATGTGAGCCTCATTATGTGAAAAAAGAAGCCAGATTTCTTAAGACATTAGCCAAAAGGGAGAAGAATGCCTATAATGAGATCAGTAATGACCACCTCTATTCATCCACAATACGCAATGGGCACCTACCACTTGGAATGCTGCACAGGTCACTCAAGCCCTGCAGCCCTGGATGGGCCACCCAGAACAGCTGGGCTGGAAAAATATTGTCACTGATCATGATTACAGACCAAGCTCTAACTGCTCCCTTACTTTCACTCCACAAGCTAGGATCAAAAAAAATGGCTTGGCCGGGCCCAGCCCTGGGATGGTGGCTGCAAAACTGACTAATGACTCCTTGACAATCGACTTTCCTTCCTCCTCTTCTCACTGAGCACTAAAAACATTTTCTATGATAACGAGGAAAGAAGATGACAACCAGGCAGACACCTCAAGAGCAGCAGGGTGTTCAGTGATGGAAGTAGTGAGAGGAGAGGCAAGAGGCCAGGGACAAAGAAAGGCAGCCCAATCCCTCCTAAACCATCTGCCCCCATAATCCACCTCTCCACCTTTCTCAAGACACTACCTCTTTATCTCCACCTGAATAAAACCACAACTTCCAATATGGCAGCCAATGGACACCTGTTATTTAAATTTAAACTCATTATAATTGAATAACATTAAAACTTCAATTCTTTAATCACTCTAATCCACACTTAATATTCATATATGGCTACTGGGGACTGTACTGGACTGCCCAGATATAAAACATGTCCTCTCTCACAGAAAGTTCTATGGGACAAGCAAATCTTTGACTATTACTGCCTCTTCCCTCCATTCAAAAAAAGTAGGAACTTAAGCAAGGCACAATGATTTGAGCCTGTACTTTGGAGGTTGAGGGAGGAGGATTCAAAGCCCAGCCCGAGACCTTTTCTCAAAAAAAAAAAAAGAAAAGAAAGAAAGAAAGAAAAAAAAAAGACCAGGAAGTGGCTCAGTGCAAAGATTATGGCTACAATCCCTTGTACTGCAAAAAAACACAAAAAACAATAATACATAAATTTTTCTTTTAAGTACCAGGAATTGAACTCAGGATCTTGCACTTGCCACCCAGGCACTGTGCTGCTGAGCTATATCCCTGGCCTTACATAAATTTTTTGGGGGGGTACAGGGATCAAACTCGGGACCTTGCACTTGCAAGGCAGGCAGCAGCAACACTGAGCTAAATCCCCAGCCTCCCTTACATAAATTTTTTTAAAAGGTAGTGACTCTTTCAAAAATATTAGAACACAAGGCTGGAGAGTGTAGGTGAGCAGTAGAGCACTTGCCTAGCATGTGTGAGTACCTGTGTTCAACCCCCAATACTGCAAAAAAAAATTACAGCAGGTGGGAGAAAGGGAGTGGGTGGGGGGAACAGTGACTAAGAAAGTATAAAATTTTAAATATATTAAAAGTGGAGACTTCTCCCTAAAAGCAATAAATAAATAAAGGAAGAAAGAAAAAGATGGAAGGCAACAGGGAGACTCAGCCAAGCAGCAAACAGATTTAACCACTCACAAGCGACCTTTCCCTAGCCTGCCCCCATTCTGCTCACCTCCGGCCCCACTTGCCCAGCCAATGGGCTCTTGGGACTCAGGTCAACTGTGAGGATCTGATTGTTTTTTTAAAACGAAAACCAAAAAGAACAGCCCAGGAGCAGAAGAGTTCCCTACCCCTACTCTGCTCCTGCAATCCGTCTACATTTACCTGCTTCACACGTCTTCACTCCTAGGCACCCACACTCCACTCCTGGCCCTGTCCTCTTCACTCTCCTCCTACCCAGAGCTTCTTCCCACAAATACTATCTTCCTTGTTTTACAAACAGCCAATCAAAGGGTCAGACACCGGCTTACAAAACCTTGATCTTAATTCTTCTCCAGGTTATTGCCAATCCAGCACACACCCCTCCCCCCAGGTTACCCCCTCTTTTCCAATCTCCAATTTTTGACACTTCTCTCCACCCTACAACAGTAACCAATACTTTTATTGCCTTTATAATGTGCTGGGTCCAGTTCTCAGCACTTTTTGTATTTTCACAACTTTATGAGGTGGCCATTATTAGCATTTTATCGAGGAAAGTGCATTTAGATCCAGAGAGGAGCAAGGTGCAGTCTCTGTCCCGGGGCTCCACAACTGGAAAGTGGCAGAGGAAGGATGTGAATCCACGTGGTTTGGCTTCAAAACCCATCTACTTAACCACTCCAAATCTGGAATTGTAGTTCAAAGCTCTTCTGCTGACCCCTGCTATTCCTGCGCTAAATTGTGTCTTCCAACTAGAATTTTTTTTTAATTTTTTATTTTTTTCTGGTGGAGCTGGGGATCCATTCCAGGGCCGTCCTCACGCTAGGTTACCACTCCACTACTGAGTGACATCACCATCCCTCAACTAGATTAACTTCCCAGCAAGACCAGGCCCTTGGCAGCATCTACCTACACGGTTTTCGACCCTTTTAATAAGAAACAAAGCTTTCTCAAGTGTTTTTAAAAATGTGGGCAAAAAGCCTTGTCTAGACCTCCCTCCCTTTCTCCATTAATTCAATAAACACGTACTGATCATCTCCTCTGTACTATATCCACAACATGAAAAGTCCCTGTCCTGCCTTTCGATCAGGGAAAGATAGGGAATCAGACAAGTATCTTAGGCAATTCATTTTAAAATTGGAAATAGCGGAGGGCGGAGGACCTAGCTCAGTGGCACCGCGCCCGTCTCGCAAGCGCAGTCTTGAGTTCGATCCCCGGTACCAGAAAAAAAAAACAAAAACCAAAAAAAACCTGGAAACAGCGGAAAGTAGCAAAGAAATGCAGAGCCCATAAAAGCCTGTAACAGGGACCTATCTCTCCTTTCTCTTTCCACGGGACTTTTTTACTGAGAAAAGTGTACCCTTACTAAGTCAGTGCCATTCACCGATCCCTGAGGGAAAGTCTCCCCGTTCTGATCCTTCAAGGGGCCTCCGCTGTGGGAAGGGCGGCAACGAATAAGGAACCCCCAATTCACACTCCAAGCTGTCTCCCTTTCCTCTCCTTCCCTATAGTGTCTTCTCCCACCGGTCTCCGAGTCCTTTTCCCATTCGTGACTTCACACCCTAGAAGGGACCTCCCACAATTTACAGATCAGCCTTACGTCCTCGTTTCCACTAAGGGAGAAATCTCTAGGAGCCCGGTACTCACAGATCTAGCCAACCCCCGAACCCCAGGCCGCCGCAGCAGTAGGAGGGCAGCCTGGGCCAGGCTTTGCCTCCAGACGCTCGCCGCGGAGACCGCTGCCGCCATCTTGGCTACAAATCACTCAGCGTTCCGCCCCTCTCCTGGACTAGCCTGGGGACTGCCTCCTCTTGAGCCTGATTCAAATGCTCACACAACTCTGACATCAATGCACCTGCTTCCGATCACCTGAAAACCAGAACCCATAGATGAGTAAAGAAGAAAATTTGCCTTCCCTTAAATTACCCCGATCGCGTTGATGTATTAGCTCCTCTAACAGGCAAAGAAAAGGGCAACCTGATCAGAGCCTCAATAGTTTAGGACCCGGGGGCTTTGAGTAGAATGAGTCCATGCCAAGGCCCGCCCCCTCTTCTCTACTGCCCAATAGCTTTGGCAGAATTGGGAGGCGAGGTGGGCAGGGCCTGTTTGTTGACAAATGCTGAGCCACGTGCGGGGGGGGACAAATCAGTGGGCGCCCGGATAGGCGCATGCGCGCTGGATACTCTGCCTACACGCAAGCGCGTGCAGGTGGGCGGAAGCGACAGTCGGGGTTGCACGTGTAATGTGAGGTGATGGAAGGGGCGATGCATACTACCGCCAAGGTCTGCACTGAGACTGGCATAGAATTTAGCCCTCGGGGTCCTGGGTGCAGCCTCAGGCACTTTGCTTGTGAACAGAACCTGCTGTCCCGGCCAGATGGCTCTGCTGCTTTCCTGCAAGGTAAGTACTTAACCCAGGTAAATTCTGTCCGAGCTATGTTTACCTAGGTCATATTTGTTTTGAAGAACGGTTAAAGTGTGCTGTGCAGCGGAGTACCCACCTCCCAGCGATCTAGCTGATAAATGCTCCTCCGGCACTGATGCAAAACTTCTTACCAAATGGAAACTTTTAAATAGGCCCGACCCACACCTCTCCCTCTCAGCTTGAATGCAGCCCCTCCTGCGAGCTAACCAAGCATTCTACCATTGAGCGATATCTATCGCCCTCAACTGCCATTCTTTTAAAATGGAATGGAGAAGGAAACGTCAGAGTACATCAAAGCAATAATGGTAGAGTTGGGTTTTTTGTTTGTTGGCGGCCTTTGATTCATTAACACACATAGATTTGTGTGAGTTTTGGCTCATGCTGTAATGTGAATCTCTTCTTGGGCGTTATGGTCAGAGAAGCTTGGAAACTACTGTTCACTTGGAAGCCTAGTATCTTCATTTTCAGGTGGTAAAACAGGCCCAGAGAGAGGTTAGCAAAATCATTTAGGTTTACAGAGCCAAGAGGAGGCAGACCAGACTAGAAGCCAGGCTTTTTATTTCCTAGGTCTTACCTCCCCTCACCTATTCATATCCACTCTGGGGAAATAAGCAGGCTCCTCCCAGAAATAGATCCCTTTCTCAGGTGTTTGGACTGCTGCAGAATTTGGGGAAAGAGGGTAGGCTGGAGGAAGCTTTGGAAAGAGAAGTTGAAACCACATACAATGAGAGGAAAGTTAGCTTTCAGGGAAAACTTCCTGTTAAAGTTACTGATAGTAAGGCTGGGGATTTAGCTCAGTGATTCCACTGCCTGCCTGGAAAGTGCAAGGTCCTGAGTTTGATCCCCGGTACCAAAAAAAAAAAGGTACTGCTTGTGCTCGGTGTGTACCTAAGTACAGTGTCCTAAGTATTTTAAGTGAATTGTATTGTTTAATCCTTACAAGAACATGAGGGAGTTCATTTGACTGGTAGTTAATTTGACCTCATTTTACAGATGAGTAATTAGAAGCAGAGAAGTAAAGTGGATGCTTGAAGAATCACTGCCAACAAATGGCAAGGGTGCCCATACTGTTAAGTGCTGCCCGTTGGGCCCTAGAACAGGGAAGTTATGTCTGAGGCCTCCTCCACTGTCTCCCCAGGTGATACCTCCATCCTGGCTGGTGTGTATGGGCCTGCAGAGGTGAAGGTCAGCAAAGAGATCTTCAACAAGGCCACCCTCGAAGTGATCCTGAGGCCGAAGATTGGGCTGCCTGGTAACTGGACTCGGCTAAATTGCTGAAGGTCTAGACTGTCAGGACCTTGCTGGCTCCTCTCTGCATGCTTGCTGTCCCTATTTTCTTCTGCTCCCCCACCCCGCATCTCCTCTCAGGTATTTTTGTCTCTTTCTCCAGCTTTCTGCCTCTGTGTCTCAGTTTGTTACTTTTTTCTGTCTTCATCTCTTTGTCCCCTTCTTTGCATTAGCCTGCTTTTTCACCCTGTCTCTTCTTCATTCCCCATCAGCTAGGTCCACTGGGTTTGGAGTGGCTGTGGGCAGCAGCCCAAAACACAGTCATTCTTGGATGGCTGGTAGCCCTCTTGGTGGGAGCCAAGGATGGCAGGGCTGAGTAGAAAGCAGTCAGACCCGGCATGCTTCCCGCTGTGAATCCTATCACCCATGCAGGTCCTGTGCCATCTCAGGCTGAGTCTGTAGGCTCCTTACAGAGGGCTTTCCTCCAGAGGGTGAGGCAAGTGAGGGTGATGAGGGTGAGCTGGGTGGAAGCAAGAAGCCTGACAACTCCTCCTTGATTTCCTCAGGCGTGGCTGAGAAGAGTCGGGAACGACTAATCAGAAACACATGTGAAGCCGTGGTGCTAGGAGCCCTGCACCCCCGCACCTCTATCACAGTGGTGCTGCAGGTCATCAGTGATGCTGGCTCCGTATCCTTTCCCCAGATGCCTCCAAGAAGTGCTCCCAGACCTCCCTGATGGCTTCCCTCCTGGTACCCCTGGAATATGCCACATGACTGCTTACTGTGTGCCAGGCAGTGTTCTGAGCACCTTCTACATAACTAATTTAATCCTCACACCACATAAATCAGGTGCTTTGTGTGTGTGTCATAGTGTCATCCTTGTGAAGGGGCCATGCTAATCTTCTCTGTATCATTCCAATTTTAGTATATGTGCTGCCGAAGCAAGCACTAAATCAGGTGCTTTTATAAGCCCTGTTTAAATAAGCCCAAACCATCTGGCTGTAGAGGTGGAGTACTCTGGAAGATGAGTCTTCTTATGTTCCCATGTTTTGGGTGAGGAAAGTGAAGCCCCGAGAGGGAAACAGTTTGCCCACAGTGGAAGGCAGCAGAGCTGGGCCTCAAATCCAGGGCTGCCTGACTCCAGAATTTGTGCCTTTGACCTCCACTCCATACTTTAGTGTGGGTTTCAGGTTCTCAGGCTGAGGGAGCCCCCAACAGGCAGAGCAGCTGGGTTAGGAGCTCAGGCTAGAAAGATCTTTGTGGTTTAGGCCAGTGAGGTTTTGATGGACATTTCTAGAGCAAGTTGCTGGTACCTGGCCCTGCATGTGGCAGGCAGTTTATGACTGAGAAGAGAGAGGACCTGTTGTGCCGCATTTTACAGAAGTGGAAACTGAAGCTCAGAGGAAGTGACAGAGGGTCAATAGCAGAGCTGGAACTGATAGATTTTAAAGCTAGAGCCTTTGTCCACTCTACTAAGCCTGGGAAAGACCTGAGGAAACTGAGGCAGAGCCAGCTGACTGATTCCAAGCCTGTGAACCCCCTGGGGTGGGAGCAATAGTGGCTCCATCACCTGGAATAATGGCTGCCTGCTAGCAGCAATTTCTACACTGGGTCTGGCATTGCCATTACCTCCTGCCATGTGACCTTGGAAGGTTTCTTCCTCTCTCTGACCCTATTTTGCAGAAGGTTGGTATATAATTTAATACGTGTCTATTAGATAACACTATGGCCCTGTGTAACCAATAAGGAGAATGAAACTCAGAATAAGTCACTTACTCAAGGTCATGCAGCTAAGAGGTGGCAAGGCCATGTATGGAATTGGGGTTCCTTGAGCCCAGAGCTGCTTATTTACTCAGCAATTCTGTGATCTGTTAGTGATGTCTGCCACCGGCATCAGCTGGGAAAGGTAGGCATGGATGTGTTCTGCCTGCCAGCCCCACAGTAGGCACTCTTCTTAACTGTTCTTGTGCTCAGCTCCTCGCCTGTTGCCTGAATGCTGCCTGCATGGCATTGGTGGATGCAGGTGTGCCCATGCGGGCTCTCTTCTGTGGCATCACCTGTGCCCTGGACTCTGATGGGACCCTAGTGCTGGACCCCACAGCCAAGCAAGAAAAGGTAAGTGTGAAGTCCAGGGTGGTGGGAGGGCTGTGACCAGATGGCTCTCCATGTCTTCCTCCAGGCCTCATTTCTTTGTGAGTCATTTGGCTCATGCATTTCAGCCTCAGTTGGCAGGTAATCCTTTACTTAGCAGAGTTCATTCAGCTGCAAGTGCTAGAACTCCAGCTCAGACTTGTGCAAGCCAAACAAGAAATATATTGGCTATTGGCTTTCATTACCATATTCTGAAAGAGCAGAGGTCTAGCTAGAATCAGGACTGAAAACACCATTTCCTTGCTTCATTTGTTGTCCCTACTTTTTTCTTTTTCTTTTTTGAGACAAAGTCTCACTATGTATCCCAATCTGGTCTTGAACTTGCAGTGATCCTCCTGCCTCAGCCTCCCAAGTGCTGGGATTACAGGCATGTGCCACCACGCCCAGCTTGTCTCTGCTTTTTTCTACACATTTGGCTTCTTTTCTCTGGCCAACGTCTTTTCTGAGGCTAGGACTGGCTCCATCAGCTCCAACTTTGTGCTTCCCTCCTAAGAGGCTCAAAAGCAAAGGGGAAGGGAAGAGATTTCTTCTTATTGGCTCTAGTTCACAATATCCTGGGGCTGTTATTCTTTGGAGTTTTCTGCCCGGGACCATCCTTGTTCATAGCCAGTCAGGAAAATGAGATACCCTTTGGGATTCTTTGGACAGAGGGGGTTTAATGCAGAGGATTGGTAGAAACAGTGTTGGAAGAGTTGGAAAAGCAAAATAAGAAGAAGGGATGGTGCCCGAAGCTCCTACTGGCCTCAGGCTGAACCTGTGTGCTGACTCCCTGCCCTGCGCTATTGGAAACATTGTGCCAGTTAGTTCTGAATGCACAAAGCTGTCCTGCCTTTTCTGGCAGCGGAAATGCAGAGTCTACCTCACCTCCATGCCTACTCGGACAGTTGCCGCTGTCAGAGTGAGGACCAGGCTGCTTCACTCAGCTCTCCTGGTCTCCCCCCTTATTACTGGTAGAACCTAAAGGCAAGGGACTCTGGGGAATATAGTCCTCTAGCCCCGGCCTCACAGCATGGAAGGGAGGCAGAGTGGAAACTGGGTAAATGACCAGCACTGTGGCTCCCCCTATGGGCAGGAATGCTATGGTTGGAATGAGGGGCTTGAGGAGCAATTATGAAAGAGATAGAGAGCCATTACCCAGGGTGGGGTAGTGTGTAGACAAACAACTACAGTTGATACTTGAGCCCCAGACTGTGGGAAGGTGAAGACTTTAGGCCAAAGTTCTGGAACATCCCCCTTGGGACTGGGTTTTATCTGAGAGGAGGGTCGAAGGTTCCTCACTACCTTCTCCCTCTCATCCCTAGGAGGCCCGGGCAGTCCTGACTTTTGCTCTTGACAGTGTGGACCGGAAGCTGCTGATGTCTACCACCAAGGGGCTCTATTCTGATGCTGAGGTGCCCATGTGGGGACAGGGGAAAGCCAGAACCTTCCCTCCCACCCTGACATGACATCTTGTCCTAATTCTGCTGCATGCTGAGAGGATTAGGGAGGACCCTTCCCTTGCATCCCTGTATGTAAAAGAGAGGGAGTTTTCCAGATTTGTAACTGTGGAAACCTTTGTGGAAATTTTGGAGGGAAGCCTAGTGTATGAGAGGCAAAGGGGGAGTACAGTTTGAAAGCAGGAGGGAGAGCAGCAGAAGGCCTGCAGCTTCCAGCTCAGGGTAGTGACCTGCCCAGAATTCTAGGTCTCTATGGATCAGAGTTTGGAACTATTGGGCCAACTGGTCTCCAGAAGCATTTCTAACCTGGCCATCCTATGAATCTAAGAATATGGCAGTAAAGCTCTGGGGGCCTCTGCTTCTGTGGCTCCAGAAGTTTAGGGTCCCTCCAGTGCACATGAAATAACCCCCTTACCACCTGCCTCACCTGAGATGGGGAGAGGGAATGGTAGGTATGGGGGCTCTGGGCATCTGTTGGGTTGTGGATGGGTGGGTATAGGGCAAGGTCCCCAGCACTGACCAGCCTCTCTCCTCCCAGCTCCAGCAGTGCCTGGCTGCAGCCCAGACTGCCTCGCAACATGTCTTCCGCTTCTACCGGGAGTCATTGCAGAGGCGCTATTCCAAGAGCTGAAGCAAGCCGGGGCAGGGCACCCCCACCCACTTCCTTGGCCTGAAGCAAGCCAGCGGCCCTCTGTCCCCCTATGCCCATGTTGGCTTCCAGTCCTGTAGCTGCTGGGCCTCCTGGGGAGGGGGCTTAGGAGCTCGGTCTTGGTCCCTGACATCCCTGGGCCAGGGGCACATGACCCCCACCTCTCTATAAGGCAACATTAAAGGCAGCTCACTGGTTTTGAGTGAATGAGTCACTGCCTACTGAGCACCTATTGTGTCAGACCCCCCAGGCACTGAGAATTCCAGTGAACAAGAGACTCAGGCCCCATATTCAGGAGCAATGGACAGGAGTTGGTATTTTTCAGATGATGGTGAGTGGTATGATAAAAATATTTGGGAAACGAGTTTAGAAGGTCAGTTTGGGGTGGGCAAATGTAATATAAGCAAGGGACACCTCTGAGGGCAGGGTAATGTCTGAGCAGAATCCTGGAGAAAGGGAGGGAGCTCTTGGATAACGTGGGGGGAGAGCCCTCATGGCTCAAAGAGTAGCCAGGTAGCTGTTGTGGGTGGTGTGGGGTGAGCGAGCCAGAGGGAGGAGATGGGCCAGTCTGGGGAAGGGAGAGGCACAGCATGAACTCGGCCTCAGGGGCCACAGGAAGCATCTGGCCCTGAGTACTGCTGTAACCGGCCTGTTAACCCCATGAGGTGGGGCTATTATAGTCCCCTCTTGAAGATGAGGACATAAGCTCAAAAGCTAGTTAGCTCCTCAAGATCAGCAGCTAACTTGCCAGGGAACTAGGGTTCCACTGGAGCCCAATCCCTTGCTGTTGAGATAAAGACCAGGGAGACACTGGCACACTGGGAGTTCCCTATCAAGGCTCCCTGGTGCTCAGGAGTGGTAGCACCCCCTAGGGGTGTTTGGAAATATAAGGGGGGCACATCTAAGGTGCAGGTGGACTGCTCCCCACTTCCCAGGACCATTAGTGGGCAGGGGCCAAATGCAAAAAGCAAGTGTCCCACAGCTGGGCCACAAGGGGGCAGGATCAGCCGGCCTGATGCTGGGGGCTGGGCTTCACGCATCAGGTCCTCTGCTTCTTGCTTCACATCTTGAACCAGCTCACAGAAGCCCCTTGATTGCCCTAGTGGAAAAACAGACTCATCCCCAGGAGCCAAGAGGGAATTGTGCAAATCCTTAGCTTGAGATTATCCCTCATTAGATGCTCAGGAACATTGCCTGGGCGGGGGGCTTTTCTAGGAAGATCAGTCACAATGACATTAAACATTGAGCTGATTTGCACATCCTTGTTCCCTGATAGCCCCCTTCAGTGACCGGCTCCTCTGTGTGCCTCTTTAAGTGCTGTGCTGATGTCTGGCTTGCCTGGTGCCTGCACGTTTCCTGAAGGTCCCGTCCTTGCCAAGCATGGCCTATTTGATCTGAATGGTGACGCTGGCCCCAGGCAGGAGAAAGGGAATCTAGGAAGCAGGGCTTGCACTGCCTGAATTTCTGGAGCTATTTCTCCCCCAAAAAGAGGGTGCTGCTGGCACAGAGTGAAGCCACAATACAGGCCAAGAGATGCAGAGGGTAGTTAACCTCAGGTGAGCCCAGCTCCGGTTCTCCCTCTGTGTTCCTACCTCCTGTTGATTAAGGTTGCCTCAGGGGAGTATGCTTAGAGGGACTCAGCTCAGCGTATGGCCATTTAACTGTAGGGTGCATTTAGGCCTCATCCGATCAGGGTGTGGAGAAGAACATCAGCCCCATTTTGCACATGAGAGAAGAGAGGCTGGAAGAGCAGTCATTGGGGCTGAGGTCACGCAGTGACCAGGTGGAGGAGTAGGCCTTCCAACCTGGAGGGAACATTCTACCACGTGGAAACCCTCTACCTGATTCCTCCCAGCTGAATTCTCAGCCTCCAGCAGCTGTCACCCTGGCTGGCCCCTCCTGGTCTCAGACGCACAAACACACACCCAATACAGGGACAGACTCGGATTTGGCTGCAAGGGTAACTTGTTTAATTTCTCACACTGCTGTGGTCTGGTGAGCGATGGCTGGGGAGGGGAGGAGTCTCCAGCTTGTTTCTGGGTGGTGATGCTGCTGCTGCCACGTCATGCACCAGGATTCTCCACTCTCTGCCCATGGGTGCTCCGGGCTTCCGGCCTCTGGGTTCACAGTGGGGGCCGGAGAGGCAATTAGGGTGGGTCTCGGGAGGCAAGGTAGGTGGCCAGGGTCACCAGGGCAGCTGCATAAGTGCACAGGCCCAGCCCAACGGCAAGGACCCCCAGCAGGAAGGCACGGCAGGAGGCGGCTCCTGCCCCCTGGATATCCCCCTTGGCCCAAGCTTTGTTGGTCTGTAGAGGCAGTGGGCAGTGGTAACCAAGGTGTCCCCTTATCCCCGATTTGCGTCCCACAGCCCCAGACCCTTCCTTTTCCTGAGCTCCCAAACCTGACATAACCATTCACTCATTCATTCACCGGCTTATTCCAAAGCCACAGATTGCCTCCTATGGATCAGATCAGGGTGAGTTGGGCAATAGAGATGCTGGGTGACTAATGAAAACAAGGTACTTTGAATATCCCACTATTATAACTCACTTGATTCCCACCATGACCATGAGGTGGAAATTCCCATTTTATGGAGGAGGAAAAAGCAAGTTAAGTAGCTTTTGCCCAAAATCTTACAAAGGACAGCAGAGGCAGGATTTGAGTTCAGATTCTTTTTGTGTGTGTGTGCTGGCGATCGAACTTGGGACCTTGCACTTTCGAGGCAGGCACCGGAACCACTGAGCTAAACCCCCAGCCCTGAGTTCAGATTCTTAACTACCACTCAGGGCTCTATGAAACTTGCCTCATTTTACCCATGAAGGTTCCTGTGTGGATCCTTCTCTCCATCCTTTTCTCCACTGCCCTTGGGCATGACTCCTCTTGGATTCTGTGTCTTTGTTTCCTTGGAACAGCTTTTGCTCCTATGCCCAGTACCCTCCCAGCCCCACATACAGACTGACCTTCTGGGCCAAACAGAAGGCAGCGATGCCCACGGGCCAGAAGCAACAGAGCATGGAGAAGACTGCCAGGCTGAGGTGGTCATGGGGTAGAAGCGGCGAGACATGGCCAACCCCATCCCAGTCAGAGTCACTGTCACTGGATGATGTGTCCTGTGAACAGGAGAGAGCCTGGGTGGGCATCTCCATCCTCCCTCCTTGCCCACTGCTCCGTTCCCCATAACCAAGGCCAATACTCCTCTAGGACTTCCCAAGAGGCATAAAAATGTTCAAAGAGTTAAGCGATGATTCTGTCTAGATCTTGGGTCCCTTGGAAGGGAAGTTGTAGGCCTTGTCTCCCAAAGATACTCAGCCACACTCCAAAGTTTTTTCAAGAGGTTCATGCAATTGCCTGTAATCTCTTGAGTTTAAAAACCAAAAGTGGAGAGAGGTAACATCAGAAATGGGAACCTGCCAAAAGAGGGAGATTGTAAAATGCTCCAATGTCCTAAATTACTAGGACAAACCTGCCTGCTAGAAACTAGATCCTAGATGAAAAGTGTAAAAAATCTTACAAGCCAGGTGTGGTGCATGCCTGAAATCCCTCACACTTGGGAGGCTGAGGCAGGAGGATTGCAAGTTCAAGACCAGCCTGAGCAACTTAATGAGACCCTTTCTCAAAAAAAAAAATTTTTTTTTTAAAGGTTAGGGATGTAGCTCAACCCCCCAGCACAAAAAACCAAACCAAAACAAACACAAAAAACATTAACTTGAAAAAAGACCAGGGTCCACAGTCCAGATGTGTGTGGGCTTTGGAGAGAGGCAAGGCAGATAGACAACAGGGGAGTCGGAGAGCAGAAGGATGACACCCAAAGGCCGGGCAACAAAGATGAGAAATCTGGAGAGAAAACCAGAGGAACAAGAAGGCTAAATAACCTGAAGTCCCAGTGGCCCACATACAGTCGTTAGGAGACTCCAAGCCTAAGACAGACCCTTCCAGTTGCCAGCCTGCCAAACGTTAGCCACAACTGGCTGCACCCCGACCCCTTTCCCCTGCCTTCCACTGAAGCCTGCTGTTCCTACCTCAAGGTCCAGAGGCCCCGGTTCCCCCAGGCCAGCACTCACAGAGGAAAAAGGTGGTGGTGGGGACGGCCAACCCCTCAGAGACTCTGCAAAGGCTGTCTCTCTTAAGGGGGGGCCCAGCTCAGGTCTGCCAGGCTTCCCGGCAGGGGAGTCACAGGCTGTGCTTGTCAGCAGAGGCTGTTGAAGCTCCTGAAGACTAGGGCTGTCCATGGCTGGGGGAAACACGGGAAGACAAATACAAGTTGAAAAGCAGGCTCACCTTCAACCATCCCCTGACTTGAGAGAGACTCAGGCAGAGAAGTTAGTTCAATGAATGTCAGATCCATTTTTCAGATGGGAAAAATGAGGCCCAGAGAATAAAAGAGGTTGGCCCAAGGTTATGAAGAGAACTCAGGAGTCTGGACATTCAATTCTGGGCTTTTCTTTCAAGCAAAAACGTCACATACCTGTTGCATGCTTATTTCAAACTATGCCTTACACACTTGTCCCATGAACTACCATCCCACCCAGGCTCACACTCCGCCTAAGTGTACACACCCATCCCTCACCCCGGTGACATCCAGAGCTTCGCTGTGGTCCACACCACCACACACCTGTCCCCAGACTGCACACGTCGAGCTGCCAAGGCCCCTGCCACACAGCCTCACCTAGGGAAACCCACCCCCAGCCCACACCTTCATCTGCCAGAAGGTCCTTGAACACCTCCCCAGACAACATCAGCTCCCAGAAAACATCACTCTCAGGCCACAACCTTCTTATACATTTATCCCAAGCAGCTCGGTGCACACACACTCCCAATCCTCAGTATCGGAAACCACACACATCCCCCTCACCCACACAGGTTCCCTCCCACACACGCACCACCTCACTCGCATCTCCCATCACTTCCCTTGCACACCTGCCCCAAACACGCATCTGGGTCCAGAACCCCCTACCCACTCCACTCGCACCTGCGACCCCACATACCTGCCAGCTCTCCAGACACCTGATTTAGCCCAATCTTCCTTTGCACACCTCTCCCCGTAATCACCCCAGCAACACGTACGTGGGCACACTCAACCAGAAAGATTCTTCTCACCCTACATCCCCTGGGAGGCCCCAAACCTCCTGCTGGCTCACTCCAAATCCCCACAGGGCCCATTTCCTCGCCAAAGGTTTGCATCCCCTCTCCACAGCCGGGACCCTGGGGTGGGACGGTCCTCCCCACCTCCTCCCCTCGCTCACCGTCCACGGTCAGAGGTCCGGATCCCCTGCACCGACACCCGCCCTGACCTGCCGCCTGCGGGGTGGGCAGACCCAGAGACGCCAACGCTGGCGTTCCGGGGTTCCGGGGCCGGGCCCGGGGTCCAGGATCTGCGTGCTCAGCTCGGCTCCGCTCGGGTCTCAGAGCCCCGGGCCTCAGCTGGCAGGGGGGCAGATGGGGCGGGGGCGGGGCGAGTGCTCCTGGCCCCGCCCCTCGGCGGCGGCTGGGGAGGGGGCCTGGAACCCGGTTCCAGAGACTACAGCCCCTTCAGCTGAGGCCAGGCCCAAGCGCTGCTGACCGCGGAAGGGGTCGTCTCTGATTCTCCAGGGCCTTCCTGGCTCGGCCCCGTCTCCCCTCCCTCAACCCTTGCTGCCCAATAATAACCAATAATAATAACTCCAACTACAGCTGTGTGCCCACTAAGTGGTTTACATGTTCACATTTATTCCTCAGAACAATCCTAGGAAGCACTGTCATTTATTGTCCCGTTTTACTCGGCAGGGAAGAGGCACAGAGAGGTTAGGTAACTTGCCTAAGAGCACACTCTGTGGTCACAGGTAATTCACAGATGAAGGCCCAGGCCCTGTGTTCAGTGCTCTGCATTCACCATGGCAATCATTCCTCTCAGTAGCTCTGCTTTTATCTCTGATCTGCAGATGGAGAAACGGAGCCTCAATGGCTAAGATAAACAACTGGTACCAGGACCAGCAGATTGTAACCCAGGGCTAAGTTCCTTGCTAATCGAAGGAGAGGGGGAAGAAGTGGAGGCAGAAGGCAGGGTGAGCTAAGTGTGCTCCTGCACTCCTGTCAGCGCTGGGGAAGCTGAGGCTGGAGGATCACCAAGAGTTTGAGGCCTGGCTGGGGTACAAAGTGAACTACATGCATAGTAAGACCCTGCCTCCAGGGATTTAGCTCAGTGGTTCTGCCTCCTGCCTCCAAAGCACAAGGTCCTGAGTTTGATCCCCAGTACCACAAAAACAAAACAAAACAAAACAAAAAAACCCCGCCTTGAAAAACCAAGCCAAACCAAAACAAAAACAAACAGGAGGAGGACTGGAAGAAGAGGAAAGCAGCAGTTAGGGGTTCCCAGAAAAGGAAGCAGAAATGGGGCCCAGGTGGTAAAGTTGATGTTCATGAGTCAGGGTTTGGATCCACCCAGATCTGGTTCCTTTCCAGGCTCATCAAGGCCCTTGCTGTGTGACCCCACCACAATGGCTTCACCTCTCTGAATCCCAATTTCTTCATCTGAAAAATGGAGGGAGACTCCCTGCCTCCTAGATACGACAACATACATAAAGCCCTTAGACTAGGTGTGATAACCGTGTCTGACATTTACCCAGTGGGGTGTGATGTAAGCCCTCTGACCGTGTATGAAGCGTTTATGAATGTTGTTATTTACATCCATCTTCATCAGGAAGACTGAAGGGCTCTCCTCACCCTGCAAGCCCCTACCTCCTTCAGGGAGCCCACCCAGCTCGCACTGGACTTCCCATCTCCAAAGCCCTCCATCTGGCCAGACTAGAGGATTCCCCAGCCTGATGTGGGGCCAGCCGGAGTTCCCTTGCTCCAGGGCTCTTGGGCACTGGGCCAAGAGTCCAGACGCCAGAGCTGGCACAGGCCCTGCTCCTGGGGAGAACAGATGGCGTCTGTGAGTGCACTTGGCTCAGCCAGAGTTTCTGGCAGATGACAGACACAGAGACCCACTGGAGGGGAGATGAGGGGGAAAGGGAGCAGGATTTTTTTACCTAGGAGAGGGATGCCAGTTACTTTCTCTTTCCTGGGCTCTAGCTATCTTTTCCGAGCATAGTGAAACATAGCTTATACAGTTTTTCTTTCATTTGTGTATTTCTTTTGAATCCTCCCATCAATCTCAGCTCCAACAGTGCTGGGATTTGATCTCTTTTGTTCACTGCAGAGCCTCAGGGCCTAAAACAGTGCCTGGATCAAAGTGGGCCTTCCTTACATATTTGTGGGATGAGGGCATGAATTCCTACTGGCCTCAGTTTTTCACCAAATTGCACAGCCCTGTGGGTCCCTGATTGTCCTCAGCCACTGTAGAGATGAATTTGTGTCTAATTAGAGCTTTCTGGCTACCATCAGCCTTGTACAATCTCCCCAGCCCACCCTTTTGGGGTCCAGAGAGGCCCAGGCTTAAAGTTTTTGATGGACCTGGAATGTTAAACACCAGATTCCAGCAAGGATCTGCAGTGGAGGCCTATGCCATCCAGTGAAAGTTTTGAGGAGGAGCAGTCTATTATTTAGTCTCAAAGTGTCTTCCCAAAGATTACTCATAGAGGAAAAAGATAATGTTATGGGAAAAAGTAGCAGACATTCCCCTAACTGGCTGATAAAAGTTAATGTCAGCAGGATGGGACAAATCAGTTAGGACAAATGTGCTACCTGAGAAGATGCACTGAGAATGACATGGTGTCACTTCTGTGGTTTTCCTGTCAAAAATGCATTACCCGGGTCAGACATGGTAGTGTATACCTCCAATTCCAGCTTCTCTGGAGGCTGAGGGAGAAGGACCCCAAGTTCTTTCTTCCTTCCTTCCTTTCTTTCTTTCTTTCTTTCTTTCTTTCTTTCTTTCTTTCTTTCTTTCTTTCTTTCTTTCTTTCTCTTTCTTTCTTTCTTTCTTTCTTCCTTCCTTCCTTTCTTCCTTTCTTTCTTTCTTCCTTCCTTTCTTCCTTTCTTTCCTTCTTTTTTTTTTTGTTACCAGGGATCGAACTAGGGTTCTTGCGCTTGCGCAGCAGGTGGCGAAACCACTGAGCTAAATCCCCAGCCCCAGGACCCCACGTTCAAGCTTGGCCTAGGCAATTAATTTAGGGACTTAGATTCTGGATGGAGCAGAGATAGTGGCAAAGCATGTTATTAGGACAACTGGGAAAACTAGCACACAAGATATAGATTAGATGATAGTTTTATAACAATGTTAAATAGGTACTAAGATAAATTTGATACTATGATTATATAGGAGAATTTGTTTATTCTTTGGACACTTTTCTTTCTTTCTTTTTTTTCCCTTTTTTTGTACCAGGGATGGAACTCAGGGCTTCATGCATACTAAGCAAGTGATCTACCATTAAGCTACAGCTACAGCCCTTTTAAAATTTTGAGACAAGGTCTCACTAATTTGCTCAGATTGGTCTTGAACAAACTTATGATCCTCCTGCCTCAGCCTCCAGAGTAGCTGAGATGACAGGCACGTACACTACACCTGGCTAAAGTACTTTTGTTTTGGGGTTTGACTGATATGTGTTTGCAAAACAGGATTATTTACATTCTTAGCCGGATGTGGTAGTGCATGCTTGTCATCCCAGCAATCTGGAAGCTGAGGCAGGAGGATCACTGTGAGTTTGAGGCCAGCATGAGCTACATAGGGAATATAGGAAATCTCAGAAAAACAAGACATATATCCCCAAATAATGTATTTTGTGTGTATGTATGCATATATATATATATATATATATATATATATATATATATATATATATATATCTTGATCATTTTCAATCCCCTTTCTCCCCCTCCAGTGATGGTGAACCTTTTAGATAATGAGTGCCCAAACTACAACCCCAAAACCAATTATTTATCTCAAAGTGCCAACACTGCAATTAAACCTGAATACTGAGGTTTTAGTTTAGAAAAAGCAACTCATACATTAACATCTTTTGTCTTTAAAGAAAAACACAATAACATGCGTACCACAGGTTCGCCACCACTGCTCTGTCCTCGCTCTTCCCCTGAATCCCTTTCCCCCATGCAATAATAAATGTGGAATGCTCCCCAAACTTGTGCATCATCTTTTTGCAGGGCCATACCACTCTTCTCTATATCATTCCCAATTTTTTTTTGGAGACAGGGTCTTGCTATGTAGTTCAGGCTGGCCTTGAGCTCACTATGTAGCCCATGCTAGCCTCAAACTCATGACAATCCTCCTGCCTCAGCCTTCTGGGTGCTGGGATTACAGGCATGCGCCACCAGGCTCAACTCTGTATCATTCCAATTTTAATATATGTGCTGCCAAAGGGAGTACCCAGCTAAATTTATAACATTTAATCAAGCTGTTCATTTATTATGTGTGCCTTTTCTGTACATATATTATACTTCAAAAATCATTTTTTAAGAAAAGATCTTTATATACTGACATGGGTAAGTTTTCAAGACATATCACTGAATGGGAAAAGCAAGGTATAAAACAGTATGTACAGCCACTATGAAAAACACTATAACAAGCTGGGCATGATGGTGCACACCCGTGATCCCAGAACTTGGGAGGTGGAGACAGAAGGATCACAGTGAGTTTGAGGCCAACCCGGGCTCCACAGTGAGTTCAAGGCCAGCCTGAACTATGTAGTGAGATCCTGTCTCAGAAAAACAAAACAAAACAAAAATTCATAGAGATGGAAAGTGGAATGGTGGTTGCCCCGGGAGTGTATAATGGTTTTATTATAGATAGGTAGAAATATTGTAGGCAGACAGACAAGGGTGGGCCCTGGAGGGAGTCAGTGCAGAAGATGAGAACACATCAAAACTGGCTGGGAAAGAAAGAGAGAGAGAGAGAGAGAGAGAGAGAGAGAGAGAGAGAGAGAGACAGACAGACAGACAGACAGACAGACAGACTGCCTGGGTGGAGGTGGGCTGGGGATTTAGCTCAGTGGCATCATGCCTGATTTGCAAGCGCAAGGTCCTCAGTTCAATCCCTGGCACTGGGGAAAAAAAACCCCAACTGGCTGGAGGTGCATCTGAAGAAGATTAAAGTCACAAAGGCCAGATTTGCATGCTTCCCTTACCACCCTTTTGAAATTTCCCATATAAATAAACCATCATTTCATTGGAGTGGGCCTTCTTCTCCCATGCACTGAGACTAAGCCCACTAAAACTGAAGACAAAACTAAGACGATAGATGAATGATCAAGGTTACTAATATCATCCATATGCCCTTGCTATTACTGGATCGATATTAGCTAAGTGGCTCTACTTGTAATCTTATTGGTTGATTATAGTTTGACCCACATTGTACCCACCCCTCATGACTTTGCTCTATAAAACTTCTCAGAAAAGTGGGCTCATTGGCAACCCACTCAGGACCCCATCTATCTCTCAGGAGCTATTTCTATTTCCTATTCTTTTTTTTTTTGTACCGGGAATCAAACTTGGGACCTTGCGCTTGTGAAGCAGGTGGCAGAATCACTGAGCTAAATCCTTGGCCCTTTATTCCCTATTCTTATTCCCATTACTATTCTCTAATAAATTTTCCTACTTTTAACTTCTGTTGTTCCTGAGAATTCATTCTTCAACTTCAGGGAACACAAACTCAGTGTATCTAACATCTAGTAGGTTGAGAGTTACATTTATTTCCTCCATATCAGTTCTAGAGAATTTCAGTTTTGCAAGATAAAAATAGTTCTGAAGTTTGATTGCACAAAAAATGTAGCTGTAGTTAACTATTGAACTATACAATTAAAATGATTAAGATGCTAAATTTTATATAATGCGCATTTAACTACAATTAAAGTAACTTTTTTGGTGTTACATCTCTAGCCTTCTCTCTCTTTTCTTTTTCTACCCTTTTTTTTTCTTTTTCTTTTTGAGAGAGGGTCTTACTAAGTTGCATAGGCTGGCCTTGAACTTGCAGTCCTCCTACCTCAACTTCCTAAATAGCTGAGATAATAGGTATGCACCACCGTATTCAGTTTCAAAGAACATTTTTTATTCTGGAACTAAAGATTGAACTCATAGCCTTCAAACTGAGCTACATCCCCAGCACCCTCCTCCCTTTTTTGAAACAGGGTTTCACTATGTAGTGCAGGCTAGCCTGGAACCTGTCTCAACCTCCCGAGTGTTGGGATTACAGGTGTGTTGGCCAAAGAACTTTTAAATAAAAAATGTACAACTGGGGCTGGGGATTTAGCTCAGTGGTTCTGCCGCCTGCCTCCCAAGTGTAAGGGCCCGAGTTTGATCCCCGGTCTCCCCCCAAAAAATGTACAAGTAAATAAATGATAATGTGCTTCTGTAAAAATAAGATATGTAAACTGTACTATTTCAATAACAACATCAAAATTAAAAACATCAATAGCAAACATGTAGTGTTTTCTATATAGCAGGCAGTGTCCTAAGTTCATTACATATTTGTGTTAGTTATCTATTCCTGTGTGAAAAACTACTCCCAAAATTTAGTAGCTTAAAGTAACATCAAGGGTTGATCAGACCCTCAGCTACATTTTGTGGGGAATGATGAGGAATAAAAAGAGACAGAGATAACTTTTTTTTTTTTGGTACTAGGGATCGAACTCTAGACCTTTCACTTGTGAGGCAGGCAGCAGAAACACTGAGCTAAATCCTCAGCCCGAGACAGAGATAATTTTCAAGATATAAATGGCGAACCAGGAGGAGACCTGCCTCTAGTGGACAGACTCCAATAAAACTCTGTGGTTGGCCCGCTTTTATTAGACAGTGAGAAGTACAGGAGGAGTGCACACATTTCATGAAACAGCATTTATAGAGAATGGGTGGACAAGGATTAAGTTAATGAGGAACCAGATTTTCTCTGTGCTCAAATGCCTGTATATTGATAACTGTCCCCAGCAGATGCTGTCTTGCCTCAGGAGTGCTTGGTTATTGGCATTCTGCCCATAGCCAGGGGCATGTGGCCTTCTGCATACTTCCCACTTCCTGAGGCAAGATAACACCGACCTCAAGACAGACTAGTCTTCAACAAACACTTATATGCTACATGTTTTCAGTGGGTCAGGAATCAGGTGACAGTTTAGTTGTGTGATTTTGGCTCCAGGTCTTTCATGAAGATGCAGTCAAGATGTTGGCTAGAGCCAGGTATGGTGCCACATGGCTGTAATCCCAGCACACTGGGAGGCTGAAGCAGGAAGATCATAAGTTCAAACCCACCCTTGGCAATTTAGTGACTCAGCTAGACCTTTTCTCAAATTAAAAGGGGGGGGTGGTGGAAGATGTAGCTCAGTGTAAAAACCCTGGGTTCAATTCCCAGTACTGGGGGAAAGAGAATAGAGGAAGGGAGGGGAGGAGAGATAAAAGGAGGGAAACAGAGAGGAAAGAAAAAAGAGCTAATAAACCCCATTTAAAAAAAGGGGGGCAGGGATTTAGCTCAGTGGTAATGTGCCTGCCTCGAAAGCACAAGGTCATGAATTTGATTCCTGGTAAAATTAAAAATAAATAAATAAAATTTAAAAAAAAAGAAAATGCCTGGGGATGTAGCTCAATGGTGAATTGCTTACCTAGCATTTACAGGGTCCTGGGTTCAAATCACCAGTACCAAGAAAAAAAAGTAGCTTTTAAGTTTGGCTGTAATAGTGAAATGAATTATTTGACTTATATAAATGTTATCATATTAATATGTTCCCCCTTCCTTCTAATAATTTGGAGTTGGTGAAGCACTGAGCAACATCCTCAGTCCCTTTTAAAATATCTGTTACTGGGGGTGGTGGTGCATGCCTGTAATCCCAGCACTGGGGAGGCCGAGGCAGGAGGACTGCTCCAAGTTCCAGGCCAGCCTGGGCTACATAGTGAGTTCAAGGCCAGCCTGAACTACATAGCGGGACCCTACCTCAAACAACAACAACAACAACAACAGCAACACAACAACAAAAAATGTATTTTGAGACAGGGTCTCACCAAGTTGCTAAATTACCCAGGCTTAGCTTGAATTTGCAATCCTCCTGCCTCAGCCTTCCAGTGCTGAGGTTACAGGTGTACACCACCACTAATGCAAACTTTGTACTCTTTGCTTTCTGTTGTGGGGGGTAGTGGTTGTTTTTGTTTTGTTTTTGCTAAAAACAAGGAAATAAGTTCTTGCCGTTCTGGTCTGGGCTGGAGGAATGAAGGAGCAGAGTTCAACTGGATTTAGAGAGCGGGGAAAACACTGCTTCAGAATTCAGACTGAGTATTTGTGTTTGTTTTGTTTTGTTTTGGGGTACTGGGGATCGAACTTGGGACCTTGCACTTGCTAGGCAGGCGGCAGAACCACTGAGCTAAATCCCCGGCCCTAGACTATTTGTACGTGTGCCCATTCGTGGATAAAATAACTGAGTCCTAGAGCCCAGCAAGGTCACGGTACAGATTACTGGCAGCGTCCAGATATTGAAAACAGGTGTCTTAGGGATGGGCATGTAGTTCAGTGGGGCAGCGCTTTGGTTCTATCTCCAGCGCAAAACACAAAACCAGAAAACAGTATCTTCTGTAGACAAAGAAACCCTGTTCTTCAAGTCTCATCCTCAGCCCATCCCCATTCCTCAGAATCAGTGCCAACTGGATTTAGCAGTAGCTGAGAAAGAAGCTAGGCTAACAGATCCAAAGGATCTCAAAACGGAAGGGAAACCCACTCCCCAACTTCTCCCGTCTCTGTATGAGAGATTTCTCTCCCTTTGGTTCTGGCTCCGTTCTGACTTGTGGTCCAGGACGGGAGCGGGGTTTTTTTGTTTATTTTTTGTTGTTGTTAAGGAGGGAAGTGTGGGCACAGAACAACAAAAGATTTATTTCGTGTTGGGCCGGGGATTTAGCTCAGTGGTTCTGCCTCCTGCCTCGCAAGCGTAGGGACCGGAGTTCGATCCCTGGTACCAAAAAAAAAAAAAGAAAAGAAAAAGATTTATTTCGTGTATATTTCTTGTAGACGGTATCTGAAAGAAAGTTGGAGCTCAAACTCGGCCACAATCAAAATGGAGCTGCCCGGCCACGCCCCGATAGCTGAACACTGGGAGGGGGAAAACACTCTTTCCAAAATGGAACAAGAGAGGGAGAGACAATGTCCATCACACCATTTCCCCACGCCCAAAGGCAGCAAACACCAATCACGAGCGCGTAGGGCGGGCATGCCGGGGGAGGAGCCTGCTGTTGCCCCAGCAACAACCGAAGGCGCCCCAGAGAAGCGCGGCTGCGTAGTACTGCTCCTCAAATCTCTCGCTGCAACAAAGGCCTTGGGAGAGGCGTGAGCCAGTCCTGGTCGGCGCCCGTGGAGAAGAAGACAGGTCAGGCCCATGAGCTACAATTTCCACAGCCGTTTTCGCCTCTCCTAATGGTTAAAAGCACTGAGGTGGGAATAACGCATGCGCTGGGCTTAGAGGCGGAGCCAAGTCGGCCCTGCGTTCTGGACGCAGGCACCTCTTGGAGTTTGGGAACCAGGCTGACGCGAAGGGGCGGAGCCATAGTCCCCTGGGGCGGGGCCTTCCCCCGGATTGCTGGGTAGATTTAGGGGGGCACAGTTAGGCGCCAGTTCCCTACCCCAGGGGTTCCCTTCCCCACTTCTCCCCGGCTTTCCTGGGAGGCAGTTAGGATCTGTGGTTTAGACCGCAGCGTCAGTGAGTTGACGAAACTAGTTTGGAATCCTAGTACTGCATTTTACATAGTGGGCCTCAGTTTCCCCATCTTTCAGAGGGAAATAAAACACTTACCTCATAGAGCTGAGATTATATTTTTCCCCTCCCAGGGCCATGGCTGAGGTGCACGTGATCGGGCAGATCATAGGGGCCACCGGTTTCTCTGAAAGTAGCCTCTTCTGCAAGTGGGGGATCCACACAGGTATTCCCTAGGCCTGGCTCATCTCCCGACCGAAGCAGCCCCAGCCTAGGGCTCCACACCCCTTCCTTGACTCCCTGACTCCTTCGCTGATCCTCTCTTGCCATTGGCTGTCTCTTATCTTTTTCCATCCTGCCCCTGGCGGCTCTGGCTTCTACCCTCTACACTGACAGCTCCTAAGGCTATGGGACAGTCCTCAAAACATTGGACAGCCCCAACTCTGCTGTTTGGCTTGCACCCATAGTCCTAGGGGTGCCCTAGGACCCCCCATCTCAATTCTTTGCTTAATAGTCTCCATTTATTGAGTTCTTACTGCAAAGTAAAAAGCTTCTGTCCCAGATTTGCAGAGGAGAAGACACCCTGGTATTCATATTCATTCTAGCAGTCATCCAAGTCTGTTTACACAGGCCCAGCGGGGACCTTGGAAGCCCCTGTCCCCAAGCCTCCCCTTCTGAGGCTCTGTGTATAGCAGGTAGTGTAATGGCCAGGGTTGTAAGTGCCAGATCTGGGTTCAGATACTAACTCCCCCACTTATTAATTGGAAGGCTTTGGACTTGACCTCTCTGAGCTTCAGTTTCCTTCTCTGAAACTATCAGCAGCTAAAAGCTGGGACAGGAGTGAGGTTAAGGGCACAGACTTCCAGGGCCAGGGATTTGGCTCTCTGGTGGAGCTAAATCCACCAGGCCTGCCAGGTTCCGCCGCCTGCCTTGCAAGCACAAGGACTGGAATTCGATCCCAGGTACCGAAAAAAAAAGAAAAAGAGCACAGACTGCCTGTGTTGAAAACCAGTTGTTGCTTCCTAATTATGTGATCTTGGACAGTTCTGTTGCCCTTGATTTCCCTGTCTATACAATGGGAATAATAATAGTACTCACTTTTAGTGGTAGTCCTTAGAACTAAATGATTATCAGCAGGGGCTGTGGGTTTAGGTCAGGCTGTGGAGTTTGTGCCCAGCAAGCATGAGCCCTGGGTTCAAACCCCAGTACCACCAAAAGAAAGTAAACATTTAAATGACTAACAGCAGCATTAGACTAGGGCCTGGACTAGGGAGTCCTCAGTAAGTGTTTGCCTGGGTCACGAAAGGCTTTGATAGGGTCTTGTTTGTAAAGCCCTGTGTGTTGTGCTGCCTGTCACAGATAAAAGCCCATGAAACGGATGTGGTTATTGCCATTATCAACCTTTCAGGCCTGGGTCCTTTCTGATTTTACTGGAAAGTAGGATAACAGTTGAGATTTCCTGGGAAATTGAGATCCTCCAATGGAGCAGATAAAAGGCAGGCTCTGGAGGCTGGCTTGGTTTTCAGTCTGGACCCCTCCACTCATGTGCTGTGACCCTGGGCAGATGCTCTCCCCTCTTGGAGCTCAGAGTAGAAGAGAGAGAGGAAAAAAAACCAAACAGATAAAGAAACAAGCCCAATGAATACAGATCACTGTAAGTATGAAGAAGAAAAGAAATGAGATTTTATGACAAGGACTAGTCTTGGTTTTCTTTTCTCTCTCTCTCTTTTTTTTTTTTTGGTACTGGGCATTGAATTTAGGCTTGTGAGGCAGGCGTGGGGCCACTGAGCTAAATCCCTGGCCCAGGACTAGTCTTGGACTAGGAGGGTCAGAGAACCCCCTCTAAGGAGTAGCTTGAGCTGACCTGTGAAGGATGAAAAAATTCCAGAAAGAATAGCTAGTGTGGCCAGGGATTTAGCTCAGTGGTTCCAGCACCTGCCTCGAAAGCCCAAGGTCCTGAGTTCAATCCCCAGTACAAAACAAACAAACAAAAAATAGCCAGTGTGAAGGCCCTGAGGTACGGGGACATGAATGGGGCCAGTGAAGCTTCAAGGTAGTAAGGGGGAGGAAGAGTGATGGAAAATGAGCTCAGGGAGGTGGGCACAAACCAGGGTACACAGGGCCTTGTGGGCCATGTTGGGGAGTCTGTAAACTGGGGAGTGGTGTAGGGATTAAGAGTCCTAGGGGGCAGATTTAATGAATGCATTGTTTAAAGTGCTTAGGATAGCATTTGGGATTTAGTAAGCACTCAGTGTGTTCCTTATTATAACCCCTTAGTAGGGTCACTATTAAGACCTATTTTTCCCGAGCAGGGTAGTGCATGCCTATAATCCCAGCACTTGGGAGGCTGAGGCAGGAAAGTCGCCCATGAGTTCAAGGCCAGCCTGGGATACACATCGAAACCCTGTCAAAAAAAAAGGAGGGGGCGGGGATTTAGCTCAGTGGTTCTGCCACCTGCCTCGCAAGTACAAGGACCTGAGTTCGATCCCCAGGACCAAAAAAAAAACAAAACCTGCTTTCATGACGTGCTCCTGGAGAGTAACCTTGGCCCAGCCTCTAAATATTGGATGAAGACAATAATAAAATGTTACCAGAACTTGGGATATACTTCACTGGTAGAGCATGTGCCTAGCATGCACAGAGCCCTGGGTTCCATCCTTAGCACCAAAACAAACAAAAATAACCGACAACAACCAAGAAGACTTATGCCCCACTTGCTGAATCGTCTCAGAATTATAGAATACATTCTTGTGTAGAAGGAGAGATGAGGAAGGGAAAAGTAACTTGCCCAAGGTTGCACAGGCAGAAAGAGAGAGTGCCAGGATTTGAACCCAGCTATTTGGCTATAGAGCCCACCCTTTGTAACCCTCACCATCTTGAAATGCTAGGTGGAAGCAGGTCTGGAGCCACAGGGGCATCCCCTTCCTAAAAGCACCCTGACTCTCCTCATTACAGGGGCAGCATGGAAACTCCTGTCGGGTGTTCGGGAGGGCCAGACACAGGTGGACACGCCTCAGGTGGGGGACATGGCCTACTGGTCCCACCCCATCGACCTGCACTTCGCTACCAAAGGTCTCCAAGGTGGGTACCAGGCCTAGCCCTAGGGACAGACTGAGAAGACGGGTACAGCAGCACCCAAAGCGGCAGGGGCTGGAAACACCCCATTTTGTCCTGCTCCCCATACCTTGTGGGTCCCTGGTAGCCAAGCCTGCCCTGGAAAGGCTGAGCTGAGGCCTTCACAGGCCTGTGCTACAGGAGTGAGATGGACCAGGGGCCAGGGCTAGAGGAGATGGGATGGGGTGGGTCTGGGTCAGGGTCAGGGCCAGGGTGGGAGGGGGGTGGCCTTCAAGTAAAGGGAGGAAGCAGGGGTCTGCAATAAAGAGGAAGCTGGGAGAAGGTTCATGAAGGTTGAGGAGCGGTGGTAGGGAAGGAGGGAGAGGGCACAGGCTGGTTGCTGTTTCTTGGGAAGGGTTCCTCAGCTGGAAAGCAGAGGCTGCTCAAAGGGGAAGTGAGTGTTTGGGCGAGGCGGGGTATCAGTTCTATAGAACATGCAGCAGATTCCAGGAAACAGCCTGGGTAGAGGTGCTGTGTGTTTCAGCAATGTCTGTTTACTGATGGCCTGCCCAGCAGCCTCCCTTCCCCACTATCTTCAGGGGCTCCATCCTGTAGGGGAGACAGACCTATCTCCAGACAGGGCCAGCCAGAGCGGACAGGTCTGGGAGGGGGGACTGTGGAGGCCATGGGAGCCCAGAAGAGGTGTCTGAGCCTGTCCAGAGGCTGGGAGGGCCTCCTTGGGGAGGAAAGAATGAACTTCTCGTGAAGGGCCAGGAGGAGCTAACGAGACCGAAGGCTCACAGGGGAGCATGAGCGCAGACAATTAGGGGGCTATGGGAGAGCAGAAGGATGTCGGGGGTTAGGATGCCAGAGGACAGCTGTGCAGGGCCTTGACTGCCATCTCCTAAGGCACTGGGAGCCACAGCAGGCAGTGGATCAATCAGATTTCACTTTTCAAAGCTCTTTCTGGCTGCCACATGTGGTGATGGGAGAGTGAGGCAGAGAACTCTGTCTTTACTGCTCATCGGGTCCCCAGCCCCCCATTCTATCCGTGAGGAAATCATGTCAACTCTCCCTGTGAAATTTATCCTGACTTCCACTTCTCACCCCCTTTCTGCCCAGCACCTGATCTGTCCCTCTTCCTCCCTTACCTGGATTAGTCAGTAGCATCATGACTGTGCTCCCAGCCCCAGCCCGTGGAGCCTGTGCTCCTATGCAACCAGCAGGGCTTCGGAGGCACCTAAGTTGGCACACATCTTTCCTCTGCTTAGAACCTTTCAGTGGTTCTTGTCTCATTCAGGGTGAAAGACAGAATCTTATCATACATCACAGGTCCTTGCACAATCTGGTTGTCCCTTTTGTTTTGTGTTTTTGAGACAGGGTCTCACTCTGTAGTCCAGGCCGGCCTTGAACTGGCAGTGATCCTCCTGCCTCAGCCTCTTGAGTGCTGGGCTTATAGGCATGCGCCACCACGCCTGGCCGGGTTGTCACTTCTGCCCTTTCTCTGTCTCTCTGATCCAGCCACACTGGCCCTACCAGGTTCATGCCCCTCAGGGGCTTTGCATTTTGGGTTGGATTTCTCTTCCCCTAGATGCCCACACAGCCCACTCCTTCCCCTTCTTTAAGTATTTGCTTAAATGTCACCTTCTTATTAAAGTGCTCTTGATCCCCTCCTTTCCCAAACCACACCCCCACCCCCACCCTACACGGCTTTATTTTTCCCCAGAGCAGTTATCACCATCTGACATACCCTATAATTTGCTTATTTACTATGCTTGTTGTCTAGGATGTCAGCCTCACAGGGCAGGAATTTTTGTCTGCTGTGTTCACCACTGTGTACCTAAGTCCTAGAATAGGGCCTAGCACAAAGGAGGGGCTCAGAATAGAGGGCGAGCTGGGCTGGGTCTCCAAGGGCAGAAGAGCTGAACCACATTCTGAGGACATTGGCAAACTTATGGAAAGGGAGAATCAGCCAGGCATGGTGGCACACATCTGTAATTCTAGGACTCTGGGAGGCTGAGTCAGGAGGATCACAAGTTTGAGCATAGCCTGAGCAATTTAGTGAGACTCTGCCTCAAAATAAAAAATAGAAAGGGGTAGGGATTTAGCTCAGTGTTAAGGCCCTGGGTTCAAGACTTGGGGTGGGGGGAAGAAGCTTCTGGCTGCCAGCTGGAGATAGATGGGACAGGAGAAGAAAGAAGGCCCTGAGCCCTAGAAGGAGGATGAGGCAGGACCATGAGCGAAGGCAGAAGGCATACAGGACAGGGGCCAAGGTGCTGATCTGGAGACTAGAGGAGCAGCAGGCTTCCCTGGCAGGGACACCGAGAAGCAAACCACAGAGCAGGAAGTCAGCAGAGGCCAGATGCAGGGCCTTGAACATGGAGGAGGCTGGACTTCACACTGAGGGCACTGGAGCCCCATGGAAGGCTTTGGAGCAGGGGAGTATAAGGGTGTAGAAAGATCTTTTATGCTGCTGTGTGGGTTGGAAAAGAGGATGGGAGCCCATAGAGGAGGCAGGGGCAGAAACCCCAGGGGAAAGGACCAGGCCTCGGTCTCCAGTGGGGGGGACAGGGAGGTGGGGGCCCCCATCCTTCCTTTCTTCTCCCTCCTGTCCTGCAGGTTGGCCCCGGCTTCATCTCCAGGTGTGGTCCCAGGATAGCTTCGGCCGCTGCCAGCTCGAAGGCTATGGCTTTTGCCATGTGCCCAGCAGCCCAGGCACCCACCAGCTGGACTGCTCCACATGGCGGCCGCTAGGCAGCTGGCGGGAGCAGCTGGCCAGGGCCTTTGTGGGTGGCGGGCCGCAGCTGCTGCATGCAGACACCATCTACAGTGGGGCTGACCGCTACCGCCTGCACACAGCCGCGGGTGGCACCGTGCGCCTTGAGCTTAGCCTGCTGCTTCGTCACTTTGACCGCTATGGTGTCGAGTGCTGAGGGATCCCGCCTCCAGCGGTCGGCCCTCATCCACAGCCCTGGCCATTCGGTGCGGGTGGGATGGCAAGCAGTCAAGATCATGGGCCCTGGATGGTCAGCCCTGATCCCAGCCAGGCATTGCCCTGTCAGTCCTTGCAAGGACCTCATGCCCATAAGGCCCCTGGAGTCCCAGTTCCTCATGTGTCACATGGGGTACTAAGTGTGGGTCACAGGGGTGGGAGGAAAATGCTGTTTAGCACGAGGGAAGTGCTTAATAAAAGTGAGTGATTCTTAAGGTGTGGAGCCTTCCTGACCCCCTTCATCTGTAGATGACCTCTTACCCCACCTGCCACTGACACCCTGCCTGCTCAGGCCCCTATCTTCTGTCAGCCCCTCTGCCCCAGCCTCACTCTCTTCCCGTTCTGGGTGCTCCTCCTCTGAGTCTCCTCTCCTCTCTGTCCCCATTCTCGGATGTTGCCCTCCCTACCACATCCTCATTTTCTCGGTGACCCCACACCAACCCCCAAAGCCCCAATCCATCTCTGTCATGGGCTTTGGTAGGGCTCGGCCGCCAGGAGGCAGCACCCTGTCCGTGGGGCGGAGCCGGGGTGTCCGCCCCCTCCCGCAGCGCTGAAGGGACCCCCCTCGGAGCCCGCCCACGCGAGATGAGGACCGTGGCCCCCCCATGCCCTCCCCTTGGGGCTGCCCCCGCCCCGCGCGCTTCCTGGGTGGGGCCGGGGCGGCTTCAAAACCCCCTCCAACCAGCCGGTCCCTGCCACCGCCGCCCTTCGCGCCCCTGGCCGTCCCCCTCCCTCCTCCCGCGCGGATCCACCAGACCGCGAGGCCCCCGGCCGGGGCAGGGGGACGCCCCCTCCGGGGCACCCCCGGCTCTGAGCCGCCCGCGGGGCCGGCCTCCTCCCGGAGCGGAGGAGGGAGCCTCGAGGAGCAGCCCGAGGCCCCAGAGTCAGAGACGAGCCGCCGCCGCCACTGCGGGGAGGAGGGGAGGTGGAGCGGGAGGAGGGACGAGCTGGTTGGGAGAAGAGGAAAAAAAGTTTTGAGACTTTTCCGCTGCCGCTGGGAGCCGGAGACGCGGGGACGCTTGGCGCAGCGCTGCCCCACGAGGAGGCAGGACCTGCGAACTCCAGACCGCCCCGGCTCACCGCCTCGGACGCAGGCTCCTTCCCTGGCCCCGACACGGCGTCCCCCTGGCGTCCCCATTCCGGACCAGCCCTCAGGAGCGGCAAACCCCGCCTCCCGCGAAGACTTCACCCCCCCCCACACACACCTGGGGCGCAAGCCCCTGCACGCCACCCTCCCCCCACCCTTCTCCCGAGCCCCCGCGCAACCTAGGACCCTCTCTCCTCCGGGCGACGGATCTCTCTCAGACCTGCCACAGCTCCCCTATTCAAGACCACCCACCTTCTGGTACCAGATCTCACCCACCTCGATTTTTTTCCGTGGGACACTGAGACACCCCGTGTCCGTGCCTCCAAACGACTCCTGCTTCGTTCTCCCCGAAGGACTCAGTTTCCCCCCGAGACCCTCCTACCTTTCCCCGGGAGACCCGTAGCCCCTGCAGGGGCGGGGCCTCCCCATCCCACCTCTGCACGGTTCACGCTCTCGGCGGTGCCGGGGGTCGCCGTCTCCCCCATGCCGCCCTTCCGGCTGCGGCTGCTGCCGCTTCTGCTACCGCTACTGTGGCTACTGGTGCTGACGCCTGGCCGGCCAGCTGCGGGTCTGTCCACCTGCAAGACCATCGATATGGAGCTGGTGAAGCGGAAGCGCATCGAGGCCATCCGCGGCCAGATCCTGTCCAAATTACGGCTCGCCAGCCCCCCCAGCCAGGGGGAGGTACCGCCCGGCCCGCTGCCCGAGGCCGTGCTCGCCCTGTACAACAGCACCCGCGACCGGGTGGCCGGGGAGAGCGCCGAGTCGGAACCCGAGCCCGAGCCGGACTACTATGCCAAGGAGGTCACCCGCGTGCTAATGGTGGAGAACAACCACAGTGAGCTCGGAGGGGCTGGGGACCCGGGAGGGGGCCCCCAGGGGGCGCCGGAGTGCAGGGGTCACGGGGAGGAAATTACTGGCTGAAAAAACTGGCTGGAGGAAGGGGACCCCTGGGGTCTCCAGGAGCGTGTGTTGGAGGGGTGGTGTCCCAAAGAGGATGGCGCTGAACCCTACCCCCCAGCTGTCTGGTCTTGGAAAGGGGGAGATAGCAAGCGAAGTGGACCACTTCTAGAAGGCAACGGGCATGCGGGATCTTGGGGCGAGTCCCCTAAAAGGACAGAAGCAATGGAGGAGGGCGAGTAGAAACAGGCTCCCCATTTCAGGGCGCGCTAGAATGCGGGGATCTCTTCTTCAGAGAGGGGAGCTGATTGGGGAAAAGTGGAGACCCCAGCATTTGGGAAAGGAGAGGCAATGGGGAAAGCTGACCCAGAGCTCAGGGGGTCCTGAGGTGAAGATTCGAGGGTAGAAAAACTAGGTGAAGCGAACCACAGAAGTGGCAGGGAAAGTGCAGAGGACTCACTTCCAGAGAGCGCCGGGACCACGCGGGATAGGGGGGTTCGTGGAGAGAGCGACCGTGGGGTGGTGTGATAGATGCCGGGGGAGAGAGAGGCAAAGTCGTTGTGAGGAGGAAGGTAGCGGCAGAGGAGCGGAGAAGGGGTGGTGGTGCTGTTGAAGAGCCCGGGATGCGCGGGGAGACGGCAAGGAGGGAGATAGCGCAGAGTGCCGCGGAGGAAGCGAGCCCCCAGGAAATCTAGAATACTGGGTCCTGGGACGGGAGTTTCAGAAAAGGGAGACAGGCGTGGGAAAGATAGACTCGCGACACACGCTCGCCGCAGCCTGGGATGGGAGTGAGTTGAGTGAGTGGGTGATCATGCCCTGGGTGAGGGGCGATGCTGCAAGGCTGAGGTGAGAAAACCCCACGTGGGTGCCATGCGCTGGGCGTTGGGGGGGTTAGGCTTCCAGAGGGGTCAGGAGGGCCGGGTAGAGCTGAACACTGGCAGTCGAGACCTTGAAGTCTCAGTTCCTCTTGGGGAGGCTGGGGAAACCCCAGCGTCCGGTGGCCTCGCCCTCCTCCCTTCGCTTCTCTTGCCCCCCCCCGGGGGGGGCGGGGATCGCGCGAGGAGCCTGGGGCGAGACTAGGCAGGTCTGGTCCCCGCCCTCTGGCTGCGTCGCCTCCCGCCCTTCTCACCCCAACACCGGGCGGGGTTACTCCTGGGTCCGCCCCGTCTGCGCCCACGCGAGGGCCCAGGCGGGACCCAGGCACCCTGCGGGGCCTCGAGAGTCCGCGGCAGTCCCTAAGGTTTTAATTTCTCCCTTGGGCGTTGGGTTTTGGCTTCTCCGCCCATTCCTGCTCCCTGTTTTTGTGGCTTGGCCAAACTATGCCCCCTCCCCACCTGCTTCTCAGTGTGGCCTTCTCTGTAAGGAAAAGGCTGCCTTTTTTCTCCCCAGAGACTGTCTTTATTTCTCCCCCAAACCCATATGTGTCTCATCTTGCATGTGCCTCATCTTCCATACTTTTTTTTTTTCCTTTGGTGACCCCGACCTGATTTGAACATCACCTTCCATCTTTTCCTTCTCTCCTGTTTCTTTTTCGTCCGCACCCCCCTTGTCTCTCTCTGTGTCCCAGTGTTTGTCCCCCCATCTCTTCTCTCTTTCTTCTCCACATCTCCCTCCCGTGACTCTGTCCCCATTTCTCTTCCCTGTCCGCCACTCCTCCCAGAGGCTTTGCCTTTCCCTTGGGGTTTACTGAGTAAGGGATGGGACAAGAACAGGGCTGGGGTTGGGGGTATGAGGGTTAGGGACCACAGGAAGGGGTTTCCTCATTCCTTCATCAGATTTCTCTGCACTTGATGGTCTAGGAGTTCACAGCCTGCCCCTTTGTCCCCAACTGCTTTTTAACACCTCCACACCCACTGCAGTCATTCAAACCTAAACCAATTTAACCTTCTCTAACTGGATGGGAAAGGGAGTTAAGAGAGGAAGCAATTAATAATGATCACAATAATGTAACAATAATGATTAATGTAAGCAATTAATAACCATCACAAGAAGGTAACATAGTTTAGGTGTTAAGAGCAGTCTCTGGTATGAGACTGCTTAATCTCACTCCGCTGCCAGGCATGGTGGTGCAAGCCTGTAATCCCAGCACTTGGGAGGCTGAGGCAGGAGGATTGCTAGAATTCAAGGCCAACCTAGACTACATAGTGAGTTCAAGGCCAGCCTGCACTACAAAGTAAGACCCTGTCTCAAAGAACAAACATAAATAAATAAATAATCCCACTCTACCACTTTGTAGCTATATGACCTTGGGACAAATTAGTTTCTCCATCTATTAAATGGATATGATAGTATCTCTTCCTGGTGAGGAAGAAACCTTTGTGAGGTTTCTTTGTAAAGTGTTTTGAATAGCATCTGGCAAATGACACTCTTTAACACAGACAATATGAGTGACTGGTCTGTGTGGGCTGCATCAGATGGCCAGTTGTGCATCTTCATTCTCACTCATTTGCTCCTGTAATCCTGGAATTGGGAACTGTTTTATAGCTGAAGCTCTGGCTCAGACAAAGGAATTCACTTGCTACAGTTACCAGTTTTTCAGTTCGGAAAGCCTGGGTTGGATCAGGCAGCTTGATGTTATTGATGTTTTTCAAAGAATAGCAGGAAACTGAGGTACAGAGAAGGGGTGTGAACTGCCCAATGTCACACAGCAGAGATGCAACAGACACACTCTCTTATCCTAAAGCCCATGCTCTTGTCCCTTACTCTGTAATTTAATTTGCATTTCAGGCACTAAGTCTAAGCTCTAGGAAACCCTGAGCAAACAGAGCAGCCCCCTTTGGGGACAGCCACTTGCTAGATGTACATTTGATCAATGATGCTTTATGAGAGAGAAGGTAGAAGGGCTGGTCCTACAGAGGAGGAAGCAAACCTGGAGGGATCTCAGAGCTAAACAGTATCAGGGTGGAACTCCATCCCAGAGTTCTCAGCTCCAGAGTCCACTTACCTAGACTTGGGGTGCACCTGCTTCCCAGGCCCTTCCAAACCCCTGATACGCTTGCTTTCTGTTCTTTGCAACTAGATATCTATAAAAGCATCGAGACTGTTGCACACAGTGTATATATGTTCTTCAACACATCAGAGATCCGGGAAGCTGTGCCTGACCCTCTGTTGTTGTCGCGGGCAGAGCTGCGTATGCAGAGACTCAAGTTAAGTGTGGAGCAACACGTGGAACTGTACCAAGTAAGGCCGTGACCCTGAGCGGTGGGGCGCTGGCCAAAAGGCTGAGCTCTGGCCAGGTGGGCTGCTCAGAAGGCTGCTGGCTGCAGGGTTTACCATAATGGTCCCTAAAGGACTGAGGAGCATGAACTGCAGAATCCTAGGGGACTTTAAAATGTTCAGATTCTTGAAGGGAGATCTTAGGAGTTGGATTTTTATTTTTCAGGAGTTGGATTTTTTATTTTTTATTTTTTAATTTAGGAGTTGGATTTTTTAAGAATGCAGGACGAGGGCCGGGGATTTAGCTCAGTGGTTTCACCGCCTGCCTCACAAGTTCAAGGTCCTAAGTTCGATCCCTGGTACCAAAAAAAACAAAACAAGGGCTAGGGATTTAGCTCAGTGGTTCTACTGCCTGCCTCGAAAGCGCAAGGACCCAAGTTTGATCCCCGGTACCAAAAAAACAAAATAAAACAAAATGAATGCAGGACAGGTTGGAGGTATAGCCTAGTGGTAGGTGACTTAGAACACTAACCTAGCATGTGTGAGGCCTTGAGTTTCATCCCCTGAGGGGGGTGGGAGAGAAAGAGAGAAAGAGAGAGAGAGGTAAACACTGTTCAGAGTTGGAATCTCTAGAAAGGCTGAGAGACTCTAGAACCAAATAATAACATTTCCAGAAAGTTCTTATGGAGGACTACTATGCTCCAGAAGATGGAGTCTCCAAGAACATTGAGGCCTCAAAGAGGGCTGGAGGCTCTAGAACGTCTGTGATCTAGAATTCATGTCATATGGAACCTTAGACACAGGATGACAGATGTCAGACTCTCAATGAGAACTCTTTGTCTAATGTTAGCTTCTTGAAACCTAGGAAATGCTTAGTATGTGGTGGCCTCTGATGTATTACATACAGCCCCAGGGATCGTTCTACACGGCATCTAGGGGCAGTGCTTGTCTGATTCTTGGTTTGTAGATAGGTAGTGTTCTAGAACTATTCAGGTTTGTTATGTGTGTCATTCTTGGGATTCTATCAAACACTAGAGTTAGGAAATGACTTCTAACATAAACCCTTAGAAATTTGACACTTGAATCCAGGGTGTCAAATGCACTCAGCAAACCCAAGAATGTTAGTGACTTAGCATTATGGGCTGTCCAAGCTGCAAGGAGCCTAGCATTCTACCAGGGAGAAAACTGAGGCCCAGATGGGAAAAAGTGTCTGCAGCCCCACAGAGCATCACAGGCAAAGGATGAGGTGGCTGCCTTGACGCGAGCTGGAGGGTCTCTCCTCTCTTCTCCAAAGGTGCTGTAGGCAAGGGTGGAGCCTGTGTGGTCCCACAGAGTGATATCTAGAAGGCTAGTGTTTGGGGACTGTCTGGAAACCTGTTTGGGGAGCAGACAGAATGGGAGTGTAGTTAGTGTATGTGGGGGTTATGACATGATGGCACCTTGTCCACCATCTTTCTTCCCATTTGACCTTCAGAAATACAGCAACAATTCCTGGCGCTACCTCAGCAACCGGCTCCTGACCCCCAGTGATACACCGGAGTGGCTGTCCTTTGATGTCACTGGAGTTGTTCGGCAGTGGCTGATCCAAAGAGGTAAGGATTGCTGCCCCGCCTGTTTCTCAGTGGAAGTAGCCCTATTGTTTGTCCTGGGGTCACCGTGCCTAGCACCACCCACTAAATGTTGATGCTAAAGAGCTGAGCTTGGCCCACTTCCCTGATGTTTACTCCTGAGTGATTAACTGATGAATGGTTAGTCCATTTCTTGAATTCTTCTCTCTGGCCTGGCCTGTGTTGGGTGATGCCGGGGACACAGCAGTGACCAAAACAATCTCATGCTTGCCCTCATGGAGTTCAGGGTTCCCTGGGTGGATGGATCAGGAACAGACCTGTAGCTTGCTGGTGAAGGCCCAGAGTGTCAGGGCTGGGATGGGGAGATCGAAGGAGGTATTTAACCCAGCCTGGAGCCAGAGGGCTTCTTAGGGGAAGGGATGCCTCGGCTGATGTTTGTGAGATGAGAGAGCCAGGCTGGAAATGAAGTAGAGGCAGGAGTATTTTGTGCAAAGGCCTTGAGGTCAGGGAGAGCCTGACACATTTTATCTGCCTAGGAGAAGACTGTGTCTGTCCTGTTCCTGGCAAAGTCCACAGTGCATGAATATTCCCTCTTTCTCACCTTCTCATTCCTGCACTCATTCAGTAAATATCAAAAGGCTTCTGCTGTGTTCCCGGGCCGTGTGCTGGGTGGTGTGAGGGACACAGTGGTAACCAAGACCACCTGGGGTCTTGTCCTCACAAGATCCACAGTCCCTTTTGGATACCCAAGAGGTCTTACCAAGGCTCTATCAGGCCATAATGCCCCAGAATGGTCAAGTCTGGAAGGGGAACAGGGAGGCACAGGCAAGGGGTGTGCTGGGATGTGGAAATCCCAACTGCTGTGGAGCCCAGAGAAGGAACTCAAGCCCGGGAGGCCTCTAAGATGAATGAGGGTGATTGTGTTGAGATTCACGGAATGTGTAATAGTTTGGCTAGGTGAAAAGATGAGGGAGCAGGTAGATGCTAGAAGGGGTGTCCTGGGGCATTTGACAAAGGCCTGGATCTTGTTTGTCTTGGTCCCTGCTGAGTCTGAAGCATGTAGCATAGATTGTAGTGCACAGTAGAAGCTTAGATAACATTATTTATGTATGCATTCAGGAAACATGTTACACCTGCAGTGTGGAAAGTACCTGGGGTTAGATGTACACCTCTACCTGACCTTGGGCACCTGTGTGACATTGGGCAGATCAGTTCCTCTCTGTGTGCCTTAGCTTCCTGGTCTGTAAAATGGGGGAGTTTGAAGATTAAAGGAGGTGACACATATAGAATTTAGAGTGGGACCTGGCACTGGGTACTTAATAGGTGTTTGTGTGACTGTAGGCCAGGCCCAATGGGGAACAAGAAAAACAAGGATGCCTGCCTCGGTGCATCCTGCTCTCTACCCAGAACAATGAGAGAAATAAATAGCCAAACACAGATGTAAGAAAGGGTGCATGCTCTGGAGAAAGCAAAGTGATATCCTAGTGGAGTGGGTGTACATTCTGACAGGCCTCTCTGAGGAAGTGACGTTTGGGCTGAGACCTGAAGGAAGAGGAGGCATGGGCACACAACTGGAGCAAGAGCGCTGCAGCGAGGGCAGAGCAGGGGTGTGGGGGTGAGCAGGAAGGAGCCTCTGGGTTTGTTCCTTCCTGCTGCAGCCCTTGGGGCTGGGTGAGATACTCTGTCTGGCTTCCCTGTGTCCCCTCCCACAGAGGAATTACAGGGCTTTCGCTTCAGTGCTCACTGCTCCTGTGACAGCAAAGATAACACACTCCGAGTGGACATCAACGGTGAGGCCAAATTCCCTGCTGGGCCCCATGCCCAGGAATGATCTGTGTGTGTGTGTATGTGTGTGTGTGTGTGTGTGTGTGAGAGAGAGAGAGAGAGAGAGAGAGAGAGAGAGAGAGAGAGAGATCTCATTTGCCCCCCCCCCCCCCACTGACTTCTCCTTCTGAGAATGTGTATGTCCTCCACCCTGACTCCCAAACCTAAGCAGGGATCGGTCCTAAACGCCGGGGTGACCTGGGGGCCATTCATGGAATGAACCGCCCCTTCCTGCTCCTCATGGCCACCCCACTGGAGAGGGCCCAGCACCTGCACAGCTCCCGACACCGCCGAGCCCTGGACACAAACTACTGCTTCAGGTGAGCTTTGCAGCTTTCGACAGAGGTCTTACCAGCTGGAGGCTTGACTCGTCTGCTGCCCAGGCACTCAGGGTGGATGCTTGACTGGTGCTGTGCCTGGGAAGAGCATCTCCTTTAGTCTGGAGGGCTTGGGGATGAGGTCCTAGAGTGCTGGGATGTGGGCAGTGGGAGTCCTATAATGTGGAGATCAGGTTGCTTTCTTTTTTTTTTTTGGTACTGGAGATCAAACTCAGGTCCTTGTGCTTTCAAGGGAGGTGGTGGAACCACTGAGCTAAATCCCCGGCCCTCAGGTTGCTTTCTTGCTGGAGTGTTGGAATCAGAGACTTGGAATGTTAGACATCAAGAGTTGGAATTCATTGTTGGAAAAATGTTAGAATCTTAAGAAGCTGCAGTATTATAATCTAGGAAAGTTGAAATGTTGGATTCCTAGAAAGTTGAAATTCAGAGCTAGAATGTTGTGAAGTTAGAATGATAATCTGACCTTGTCCCTCCCCTGCTTAAAATATCTTCGTGGTGTTTCTGGGCATTGACTCACTGGACAGTCAGTCCTGCTTCCTGGATCCTAACCACCCTCACCCTGGAACTCTCTCTGAACTCACAGATTGAGGTCCTGAGCACCAACAAGTTACAGAGAGAGAGGCAGCCTGCCTGGGGACCCGCCTTGGGGAGGGACACAGCGTCACCTTGGAAATCTTTCCCCCCAAAAATCCAACTTGAATTTGATCAGAACTTTAACTCCAAGTTCCCAGAAATAGTGGGACAGTGGAACTTGTTCAGCCACACCGCAGTGACACAGTCAGCAAAATCCGGATGGTGGGAAACCTGACCCAGTTTCTGCAACAAACACATTGCAAAGTGAGGGGGAATGCAGAGAGGTGGTTCTGTAGTTCTGTTGACTTTTAAAAGAATGCTGAGACGGGCCGGGGATTTAGCTCAGTGGTTCCACTGCGTGCCTCACAAGCACAAGGTCCAGAGTTCGATCCCCGGTACCAAAAAAAAAAAAAAAAAAGAATGCTGAGAGCCACATTAACCAGTTGCAATGTGTAGACCATATGTAGATTTTTATTTACACAGGCTAAAAAAGACATCAAGCACGTACTTGTAGTCCCAACTACTCTGAACCCCAGAAATTCAAGACCATTCTGAGCAAAGTAGTGAAGCTCTGCCTCAAAAACCAATCAAACAAACAAAAGAGATGTTTATAAGACAGTTGAGGGGCCAGGGATTTAGCTCAGTGGCGCAGTGCCTGTCTTGAAAGCGCGAGGTCCTGAGTTTGATTCCCAGTACCAAAAAAATTTTGATTATATCAAGGAATCATTGTTGATTTTTTTATATGTGATTATTGTTTTTGTTATCATTGGTGGTACTGGGGATTGAACCCCCAGGGCCTTTCCATCGAGCTGCATCCCTACTCCTTTTTCTACCCCTTTAAACATTTTTTTCTTTTGAGACAGGGTATCACCAGGTTGCCCAGGCTGGGCTTGAACTTGCCATCCTCCTGTCTCGGCTTCCCAGAGTGCTGGGATTACAGGGATGAGCCACCACACCCTGCTGAGATACTTAGTCTATAATGCAATACTCTGTTTCTGTGTGAACTGTTCTCTTACAAAAAGTTGTTTTTACATCAGCTCAGACACCAACTCTACTAGGAAGCCTCCCTGACCCCTGTCTCCAGCACCCAAGGTAAATGTGAAGCCTTGGGCCTTGGCTGGGGCCTGACCCCAGATGGGTTCTTTTGGCTGATTAGCTCTTGCTGGATCTTGATAGACTAGGCAGAAGAGGCTTGCAGAAACAAGGCCACGGGATTTAGCTCAGTGGTGCCTCTGCCTGCCACACAAGTGCAAGGTTCTAAGTTTGATCCCCGGTACCCCCCCCCCCCAAAAAACCAAGGACACCAAATCCCAGGCCTCCCATGTCATAGGCCCTTGTGTATCCAGAGGGCCTGTTCCACAGGCTGCTGCCTCACTGCCCCATGGTTTCTGATCCCATGGGTCTGGGAATTTGCACTTTCTACAAGTTCCCAGATGATGTTACTTCTGGCAGCCAGGGACCCCCACGTGGAGAACCACTGACTGAGATAATAATATCACAGGCTGTTCAAATTCCTAGGACCCAGAACCTCAGCCAGAGCTGAACTGGAAATCAGAGATAATCTGGACAGTGGTTCTTCCCTTTTCGTGAGTCAGATCTTCCCCTCTGAAAAGCTGAAAGCCAGGACCCTTTTCCTCAGAAATGTGTGCATATGTGTGCAGATAGTGAAGCTCTCCAGACTCTCCTTGAGCCCATCCACTGATTAGGAAATCCACTGATTAGGATGCTTTTTGGCCCTCAAGTTAACAGCACCTTATTTGATCCAAAATCCTCCACCTTTTTGAACAGATAGGAGAAACTGATGCCAAACCAATAGTGGAGGGACCAGACTGAGTGCATAGGGACCTAGGTTTCCTAAATCCCCCTTCAGGGTTCTGAGGCTCCTGGAAAGGTCTTATCTTGCCCTGGGGGGCTCCTTGCCATTACCACTTCCTCTTCTGTCTGTCCCATCTCGTCCCCCTGGGCAGAGGAGGGCACCACAGGCTCTGAGGTCTTGGAGTTGGCTGTGAACCTGTCCCCACCAAGCGAGGGGTGATTGAGCCACATTCCCCTTTTCTCTGAAGCACAGTTGCTTCATTCTTTGAAGGAAAAAAAAACGACCTGTTTATTAGTGTTGGTTGAAAGGAATCAATTAATTCTCTTTTAATTACTTTTTGGATAGGTGTTTAAGTGCACACAGACCCATCCCAGAGAGGATACTTAGAGACCCTCCACTTTGACCCCTCTCCTCTCAGGAGAGGCATATACTTTGTTTGGTCCTATGGTCTCCTTCCAGAGGCAGTCTCCACATGACATTTATTTATTTATTTATTTTGGTACCGGAGATCGAACTCGGGTCCTTGCGCTTGTGCAGCAGGCAGTGAAACCACTGAGCTAAATCCCCGGCCCTCCACATGACACACTTATACATGGCCACATATTTTTTTTCCCTTGTGGTTCTGGGGATTGAACCCAAGCCTTTTGCACTAAACTACATCTCTCCTGGCACCCCCATATTTTTTGAGACAGGGTCTTTTTATTTTTTTTGGTACTGGGGATCGAACTCCAGTCCTTGTGCTTTTGAGGCAGGCGGCGGAACCACTGAGCTAAATCCCCAGCCCAGAGACAGGGTCTTACCAAGTTGCTAAATTGCTTCAGGCTGGACTCATTTGCAGTCCTCCTGCCTCAGCCTCCTAGAGTGCTAAGATTACAGGCATGTACCATAAACCCAGTTTTATAGTGCTCCTGGCCTTCCACAATTAACCTTTTTACTTGGCTCCTTGCCCATTTTTGTCAGAGCCCTCAGAGCTGGCATATAGCATCTTATTCCTTTTAGGCAGTCAGAGGCTGAGCCTAGACTGAGGAGAACTAACCTTTGGGTTTGAGCCTGGGAGATCTTGAGTCCAGAATGGTAGAGTCTTATACAGCACTATTCTTTAACTTGTTTTGTTTTGTTTTATTTTATTTTATTTATTCTTTTGAGACCAGATCTCTGTGTTGCCCAGGCTGGCCTCAAACTTGTAATCTTCCTGCCTCAACCTCCTGAGTGGTAGAATTACAGACATGTGCCACCACAGCCAGCATATATTACTTTTTTTTCTCTTGGTACCAGGGATTGAACTCAGGACCTTGTGGTTACGAGGCAGACGTAGCACCTCTGAGCTAAATCCTGGTCCTATATTACATTTTTTTAAAAAAGCAAGTTGAAAGCATGGGGTGCAGTGGGCACACCTGTAATATAGACCCTGTCTCCAAAATAAGTAATGTATTAAGTTAACTTACACATTCAACATTCAACATTTGCAGAGCGCCTACTGGAGCAAGCTGGAGGGATAGTTCAGAAAACAAAACAGTCAAAACTTCCCATGCTGGGGCCAGGGATTTAGCTCAGTGGTGCCTTGCCTGCCTTGCAAGTGCAAGGTCCTGAGTTCAATCCCTGGTACCAAAAACAAACAAACAAACAAAAAATTTCCCATGGTTAGAGGAAGACAATAAAATAATCAGTGGGGATACAAAGGAAAAGAAATCAGAGGAAAGAGAAAGAAATGGATATTGAGAACTACTTATTTTTCCTATTGTGATTAAAGTTATTTTATTATGGACAATTTTAAGTGTAAACAAAAGCAGGAAAAATAATATAATGATAGTCTGAACTCTTGGCAGCTTCAAGTTATGAGGACTGTTCTCTACTTCAAAAATGGACATTTTCATTTGCAATGCCATGTTGTACTGAATGAAATTAACAGTCATTTGGATTAGTAGTCTAGGCAGGATGAGTGAGGAAGGTCTCTGTGGAAGTGATGTTTTTGCAACTGATACTTATTGAGCACCTACTGTATGCCAGGCACTGTTTCAGGAGTGGTGGACATTTTCGCCAAGATTTAAATGAAGGAACAAGTCAGAGTGGGTATCTTGGGAAAAACAGTCCCGGCAGAGGAAACAGCAAGTGCAAAGGCCCTGAGACACGGCTGTATTTGAGGAACAGACAGGAAGCCAGTGTGGCTGGAGTGGGTGAGAGAGGGCATTGAGGCTGCTAGATTGGGTAGCACCTTGTGGCTCTGGAGAGGACTTACTCCTGGGCACTGGCTGAATGTGATGAAGCCATGCTTAGAACAGGGGAGTAGTGTAATAGGCTGTAGCCCTGCAAAGCTGGGATTTCTGTTTTGTTTATGTTCTTTCCCCAGGGGTACAGCCCAGCCTGGTGCACTGTAGTAGTTCAGTAAGCATTTGTTGCACAAATAGAGCATGTCAGTACACCTGGAGCTGCATTTTATTTTTTAATGTTTCATGTGTGGATGTGCCATGAGGTTTTTCAGTCTTTGCCTGTGGGTGGTCATTTGGCTTCTTACAGACTTGTTTTGAATACTGTGTGAGATAATGTTTATTATGATGCTCTTAGTAGCACAGTGTTTGGGAGAGGAGGTGCTTTATAGTTGTTAGCAATCATTATTACTATTACTGTATTCTTATCATGGGGGTGCGAGGGAGACAGGTGGAGGTGGGGGCAGCCTAGGGTGACACAGGCTGCCAGCTTCCCTGCTCCTGACCGGGCTTCTGCTTGCAGCTCCACGGAGAAGAACTGCTGTGTTCGGCAGCTCTACATTGACTTCCGCAAGGACCTGGGATGGAAGTGGATCCACGAGCCCAAGGGCTACCACGCCAACTTCTGCCTAGGGCCCTGTCCCTACATTTGGAGCCTGGACACACAGTACAGCAAGGTGCGTCTGGCCCCGGGCTGGGGGGAGCTGGCACCAAGAAGATAAAGTCAAGAGATGTGTCGGCAGGATAGGGAGAGAGACGGAGAGGTGGGGGGAGACAGGATAGCGCCAGACAGACAGGGAAAGGGAGAGACAGAGATGGGGAGAGACTGGCCAGGATGGGGACGGGCCAGCCAGCAGCCGAGGTCTGTGGGGAGGCTCCCCCCGCCACCTGCAGCCAGCTCCTGACCGGCCCCTGACCCATCTGGCCTTCCCTCAGGTCCTGGCCCTGTACAACCAGCACAACCCGGGGGCGTCGGCGGCGCCCTGCTGCGTGCCGCAGGCACTGGAGCCGCTGCCCATCGTGTACTACGTGGGCCGCAAAGCCAAGGTGGAGCAGCTGTCCAACATGATCGTGCGCTCCTGCAAATGCAGCTGAGGCCCCGCCCACTCCCGCCCCGCCCCGGCAGGTCCGGCCCCGCCCCTGCCCAGGGGCTGTATTTAAGGACACCTGTGCCCCAAGCTCACCTGGGGGGCTAATTAAAGGTGAAAGAGTATTGCGTGTCTCCTGGTCATTGGGTACCTGAGTCTCCCTCTTTGACATTGCTTCCCCTATGCCTCTTCCTTGACATCTTTCTCCCTCTGCCTCCTCCTCTCCCTCTACCCTTAATTTGCCCAAATCACAAACACTGAGCACATGCGTTTGGAGGGCTTCTGGAGGGGCAGAGACTAAGTGGTGAGCCTCTTATTTATCTGGCAGTCTGAGTACTGTTTACAGTGCCTTATATTAAGGAACTAATTAAAGCACAGCAACACTGAGACACAGGGACTCTGATAACACCCTTTTCACAGGGATTGAAATGGAAGCCTGGAGAGATGAAGGAAGTAGTTCCTGTCCACCAGGAACTGACTTTCTGGGCTGGGGAGATAGACGGCCAAAACTAATGGTTCTGTGGTAAGTGATGTTGACAATAAACCAGGAGGAGTGAGAAGAGAGGCTTTGGGGAGGATGGAGGGCATCTATAAGGAAGTGTCATTTAAGCCAAGAAGCCAGCCCTAAGGGAGAACTGGAGTGGGGTTGGAGAAGGAGCAAAGCAAAGATTGGAAGTGATGACCAAGTTGGGGTTTACTATAGTGAGGAAAGAGACCAGCCTAATTGGAATAGTGGGAGCCATGGAAGGGTGTTGGGACCTGAACACTCCCAGGCCAGAGGGTAATAACTATTCTGCATGCCAGGTGTGTTGTTTCCCTCGCTCACTGCATTCTCCCCACAGCCCAGCAAAGCAGGAGTTGGCAAGCTGCCACCCACTGCCTGTTTTTTGTAAATAAAGTGATACTGGGGGCAGGGGATTTAGCTCAGTGGTTCTGCCACCTGCCTCAAAAGTGCAAGGTCCTGAGTTCGATCTCTGGTACCAAAAAAAAAGTGATATTGGAACACAACAACACTCCTTCATCTACATATTATGCTACTGCTTCCGCAGCAGAGTTCAGACAGTATGCAGAGTCAAAAGATTTAACTGTCTTATATAGAAAAAGCTTCCTGACCTCTGCTGTACTTTATAGATGAGGATATTGAGGCAGAGAGGTTAGGTTAGTTGTTAATTCCACACAGCTAGTAAGTGGCAGCTGGGGTTCGAACCCAGGCAGCTCGAGTTGAGGGTCTGTACTGTACTTTTGTTTTTTTAACATTTAAATGTAAATTTTTATTACAGTAGAAGACACATTACCATTAATCCACCTCAAAATACTTTCCCCTGCTTTGAGCACACTCATCCCATTTCTTACTACTTCCTCATACTGTACTTCTAAGTCCTATGCTAGAGCTTCCCAGATCACATCAGGAGGTGGGACTGTACCAGGACTTGTCCTCTGAGGTTGTGAACGGGAGGGCATGAGGTGACGTAGCTCAAAAGGCTCACCCTCTGGCTGCTAATTGAGAGCAGACAACGAGGGTGAGAGTGGCCCAAGGGAGGCAGTTGTCCAGGCAAGAAATGACCGTGCCCTGGGGCCAGGGTAAGTTTCTGTCAGCTATCTGTCTCTTCTCATCTACTGTGGTCTCGCCTGTGGATTCTCTCCTTCCGAGTTCTCTGGCCTCTCAGTTTCCTCTCCTCTGGGGTTTCAACTTCCCCCTTCTCTCCCTGCTATTCTTAGGCCCAGGGTCCCTTGACTTGCTCCTCTGCCCAGGGACTGTCCTGGAAGGGGGGACAGTGAGTGTAGAGCTTCCTTTGCCTGTGGGCTGAGCACAGTTGACAGCACTGGCAAGGTGAGTGGGGCCCTGGGCCCTTCCAGCCTTTCCCTAGATCTGGGTGCCACACAGGGATGAGCTGGGGTGGGGTGGAGGAGGAGCTCATTTTGCAAGGACATGCCATTACTGTCACCAGCCTTACCTGTGGAGACACTGCTGTGAGGCCTGGCCCCAAGGGGCAGAGACAAACCACAGCACACTGTCATGGACTGTAGTCACTGCAGCTCCATGAGGATTTGGCACATGGACAAGTACGCACATATGCGCGTGCACGTGAGTGCACACACACACACTGACCTCTCAGAGCTGAGACTCCCTGCAGGACCCAGGATATATGGACCTGACAGTGGTCACAGTGCACATACACAGTGTCACCCCATCACAGCCCAGATGTGGAGCTTCAGACATCAAAAGCAAAGCTGTCACACAAATATATTCCCTAGGGTCATGGTCATCACATACCAGACGGATTCAGACAGTGTCACACATAGACACGTCACAGCATTAGAACCCCATCAGGAAACGAACCCCCCCACACTCACAGTTACACAAACATCCTCCATGGGGTCATGGTCATTGTGTGACCCGTCACAGTCCCAACCACACACGGAGGTTTGACACACGTTGCAATTTCAGGCTGCCAGCCCGTCATACCCACTGTCTGACATATCACTCCTACCACCACTTTTAGCCTCAGGAATCCCACAGAGCCAGGACCCCATCACACCCAGACATACTGTCACACCCAGGGTCCCAGACGAGACACACCCACTGGGGTCGCTGTGCTGGCGGCGGGACGGCGTGGGTGCCTAGCCTTAAAGTGACACAGCCCGCCCACCTGCTTGGGGTCCCAGCCCTGCTGAGCTGGCGTGGCCGCTGGGGGCACGGGGAAATGCAAAGTGTGCGCTATGCGCGGCCCCTGTCCTGACACCCTGGCACCCGGGTCGCCTGGTGGCCCGGCTCAGTTCAGACTCGTCTGCCTCACCCTCACCGTCCTCAGGGGCAGGGCCAGAGGTTAGGGCGCCCCCACTCCTTCTGAGGCCCCGCCCCATCCTGCAGGCAGCCAGAGCTGTCCGGGGAAGTCGTGGGGGGAGATTGGGTTCCGGCTGGAGCCCCGGCTTCCCGTCCAGCCCCCAAGGCAGGAAGCGGACAGGAGGCCAGCGAAGGGCTTCTTGACCCCTCTCCCCGACAGACCTGAGAGGTCTACTGGGGAGCGGGGGGAGCACAGGGAAGCCCCCTTCTCCCTAAATCTCCTAACGTCAGAGTGCGCGTTTTGCTTCTAGTGTGAATTTCATATTGAGGTGTTCGTGGCGTGTTTGCAGCTTTAGGGTAGTTGTCTCTAGTGTGGGTGTTGGTCTCTAACTCAGCGGCTCAGTGTGGATGGCACCCACAGGCTGTGTCCCCAGCACGTGTTCAGCTGTTTGTGGCTTGCTGCCTTTCTGCTGTGCTGTTCCTGCTGGACAGGCGGGGCACTTCCTGTGGGTTCTGGGACTATTTGACTGGCGAGTCTGTATGTACAGTGGGTCGCATATCCACGATGTGCTGAGTGTCTGGATTTTTCTCAACATCTTCACAGTTCTTCTCCGTGTCAATTTGGTTTGAAATTTGAGTGTTTTCTGCAAGTTTATGGGTGTGTGTGGGAAAGATGTTTTCCAGGAGGTGTTGTGTATTTTGTTTCTTACACATGAGCTGTTTTTAGCGCACATGTGTGATAGTTGACAGTTTGTGTGTGGGTGAGTTGTTTCTGGGTTATTTTGGGGCTGGGGTGGTGCTCGGATTGAACCAGGGCGTCACAGGCTAGGCAAGCACTATGGCACTAAGCTGCACCCCCAGCACTGGGTTACATTTTGTGATCAGTGTGCACTGCCGGTGTGCTTAGCACTTTTGTTCCCAGATGGCGTGTCTGTGGTGTGTCTCCACCATGCCCACTTCGGCTCTCCCAGTGTCTCTGTGTATGTGGCTGTACTTCTAGGTGTGGCCTGTGTCTGTCCATCCCAGGGACCGGTGTTCTCATCCCGTGTGGGTGTCTGCGAGCAGAAGTCTGCATTGATGTCCCCACCTGTGGCCTGCTGACTTCAGTGTGTAAAGAACTATGTGGGTCGTCTTTGAGGGCACTGGAGGTAGGTGTGGGGCTGCATTGTGTGCTGGTATCTTCAGGGAAAGGGAACCTCATGTGCCTTCTGGTTTCTGTGCTGAGTGAGTAGAGGCTGTGTCTGTGGTATCCTTTGCTGCCTGGTGCCACGCTGGCTCGGGGCTGGCTGTGGCAGCGGGCAGGGCAGGGCAGGGGCTGTGGTGGGCACTGGCCCTGCGCCTGGCCTCGGTATAAATATCCCCAGGCTGCCAGTGGCTGTGTTTACTCGGCCCCAGGCTGGGGGCGGCAGCAGCCCAGCAGGTCCTGGGGGTGGGCGTGACCAGGCCACAGCACAGACATTTCCTTCTGGCCAGACAGGCCCACAGTCTTGTCCCCTCCCTGGTGGGGGTGAGGCAGTGACCCCTTATTCTGGGCTCCCAGGGGCCACCAGTGGAGCTCTGAGCTGGATGTCCCAGACGGGCTTCCCCTAGTCTGGGAGACAGACAGAGATGGTGGCAGGGAGGACAGGAGAAAATGAGGGCTGAAGCAAGGGGAGGAGGGAGAGTGGGATGGGGAAACAGGTTTATTGAGACAGTGGCAGAAGCTCAGAGGCAAGAAATGACAAGGGAGAGAAGAGTGAGAGGAGTGAGAGTAGGGAGAGTAGGGAGAGCAGGGAGAGGTGCAGGGAAAGTGAGGGGAAGAGAGGAGGGCTTGGGAGCAGGCAGATAAATGGAGTACTTACTGATAGGTAGAGATGGTGGAGACAGAATGAGAACATGGCGCAGAGGCAGAGGAACAAAAGGAAATGGGGAGAAGCAAGACAGTGAGGGATAGGCAGAGACCTCAGCAGAGACAGGAGCTGAGGGAGGAGGGCGTAAGCTCCAGCTCTGGCAGGATGCACAGAGGTGTGGGACAAGGGGGGTGGGGTGGCGGCCAGCAGAGCGCTGCCAAGGCCACGACAAAGGAGGCATGGGGGTGAGGGCCAGATGCCCACAGAGGGGCGCTCTCTCAGCTGGGCCTTCCCTCCCTGATTCAGCCTCTCCACCCACCCCATCCCCAGAACTGGGAGCATAGGGAGAGGCAACCGCTGTGGAGCCTGTGAGCAGGGGGTGTGTCTCTCCAGTCCCTGCCTGATCGTCTGTCTCCGCCTCTCTTCCTGTCTCCTCATCTAATCCCTGTCCCTGTGGCGGGCTCCACCTCTGTCTCTCAGCTGCAGACACTCCGTCTCGACCATCTGACTAACCCTGATTCTGACTCAATTGCTGTGCCTCTCATCTCTCTTTAAAAAAGTTGCATAACCAAATTTATGTATCGAAAAGTATATCATAAACAAATTTAATGATCGAATCAAAGACTGGTCAAAAGTGGGAATCACTGGGGCCGAGGATTTAGCCTGCTGTGCAAGCACAAGGTCCGAGTTCGATTCCCGGTACCAAAAAAAAAGTGGGAATCACGGATAACTGATACCTGTTGCCATGAGTGTTGAGGACACAAACATGAGTACCTGAGGCAAATGTCCTCAATACTAGAGTTCTCGTCTGTCCACATGGTGTGACCTTTTGGGGTCTGGAGTTCAGCTGGACTGTCTTCAGCCTCCTGGCTGTGTCCTGCTTTGGGACATGGAGTCAGTGGTACCAAAAGCATCTTTCCCAGCAATCCAACCAGACTTATAGGAGGATGGCTTGGTCCCGTCTGCCAGGGCAGTGTCTGGCGTTCCATTAGCTGTCCTCCTATGTATCTGCTTCCTCTTAAATCCTCCCATCTCAGTCTGTGTCCCTCCACCTTTGCCCAGTTGACATTGGACAGGCAGGCTTGCAGAAAGGTTTCTAGCACTTGGTTCCCACTCCAGCTCTTCCTGAGGCCAAGGAGCCTTAGGAAGCAGGTCCTTGGGAGGGTCTGGGCCTCTTATACCATCAGATAGCCTCTGGCTGAAGAGCTCTTTATAGAAGTTTCCTCATGGTGTCAGGCAAGTCTCTCAGGGCTAGCACAGGACCAAACTACTCTGCAGCTAAAGCTTTCACTGTGTAGTAATCCCTCCAGCTGCACAGCCCTCTGTCTCATTTTAGCTTTCACTTGCATGTCTGGTTTTGATCCTGGCTGACTGAGGGCAGAGTCCAGGCCTGGAGTCAGGAGAGGATTTTGAATGTCCTTCAGGGATGGTCAGGGCAGGATGCCACTGTCTCACAGAACTGAGGGGTTCCAGAGCCCCTTGCCAACCCCTGGCCTGCAGCTCCCCCTGCCCTCCCCTTCTTAGAGCGGCCAGTCTTTCTTGGTGTCTGCTGGGGGAACAGGGGCTGGGTGCGGGGCATGGGAAGGTGGGATGCCTGGGTTCCCACAGGCCATGGCTGAGTCACAGGCAGCCATCTGGCTCCCATTAGTGTGGGGCGGCAGGGGGCTTGGTGGGGCGGGTCCTGTGGCTGGCTGGGGCAGGGATGCTAGGGCAGCCTGTGTGGGGGATGACTCAGGACCCATGATAACAGCCTGTGCACATTTGGGGAGTGTAAACAGGAGAGGGAGAGGGAAGGAGGCAAAGGAAGTGAAGGAAGGGAAAACTGTCTTCAAGGTGGGGCTGGTGGAGGAGAGCCTCCCCCTACCCCTGCCCACACTTAAGCTGGCAGGTCCCATGATCCCCAGTTCTGCTCTGCCCAGCCCTCCTGGGTACCCTTGCTTGCAGTAAGGCTGCATTACTCAGCAGTCAGGGTTCTGCTACCCACAGCAGCCAGGCATGGGGAGGGAGACTGAAACCCAGAGATAAAGCTGAGACAGACAGAGGGACAAAGACAGCTGGGAGAGGAATGGAAATGTACAGGCAGAAAGAACTGGCCCGGAGAACAAGGTAGAAGGCGAGATAGGAACACAACACAAGGATGGTGGTGTTGAGTGCAGGAAAGTGGCACAGACATAAGAGCCTGGAGCAAGGGAAGAGCTGTGAGCAAGGGGAGAGCTGTGCTGGGTCCCAGATACAGCTACCCTGACCTCAACTGGCCAGTTCTAGCCATGACAGGCCCCACTGGCTGGCCTTGGTCAAGGAGGGCACATTCATCCTGGACCTGCTACGGGGACAGAGCCCAGGATGGGGCAGGGGGTGGTTGGGGAGCAGAGATAGTAGCCAGAGACCAGGAAAGAGGGAAAAGGAGTCAGTGAGACAGAGAAAGAAACCCAGAAAGACAGCAAGAAAAAAACAGAAGTGGGTGACAGAGTGAGGTACAGAGAAAGGGGGGAGGCCTTGTAAACAGGTAGTGGTACTGTCTGATGAGACCCAGGGAGGCTAGTGGGACATGTGTGCATGCAGAGCCCTGATATCCCCCAGAGAAGAGTCATCGAGCTGGCCTGTAATCAGCTGCTTGTTGGGGTGGGGGTGGGTGGCTACAGGGGTGGCAGCCATCAGTCCCTGTCCAGCTCTGGGCTGGGTGCATCCTCTGGTTCCTCTTCATCAAAGTACCTCTCCTCTTCATCCCGTGCCACGATATCGAGGTTGTCGAAGTCGGGGTTGTTGTCCACTGTGCTGCAGGGGGAGGAGGCTATTAGGGCCACATGTTGAGTCAATGACCAGCTGAGGGACATGTCTGGGAGGCTGGGGTCAATGATGGGTCTGCACTACTTTTTTTGTTTTGTTTTGCTTTTTGAGACAGGTTCTTACTATGTAGCCCAGGCTGGCCTTGAACTCATGGCGATCCTCCTGCCTCAGCCTCCCAAGTGCTGGGATTACAGGTATGGGCCACCTCACCCGCCAAGGGTCTCCACCACTCTCTCTGTGGCACCTGGTTTGGGAATGGCAGTGGTGCCAATTCACTGAAGTGCCCTACAGCCTGAGTGCTGTTCACCACATTGTGAGAACCCAGGGTCTCCTTTGTGGCAGTTGTGGATGTTCCACATATGGTTCTATAGCTGGAGGACCCAAAAACAGGCCAGTGATGCTCATCATCACTGGGTGCTGACTATAGGCTGGCCCTGTGGCAGTAGTTATCACAATCCCATCTTAGCAAGGGCCTATTTGTGGCCACAGTTTATGTGTCACTAGGGCTGGATCTGAAACCAGGGAGTGCCCTATGCTACCAGGCCCTGTGTTTGGAACCAGGAGACAAGACTGACTCAGATGACAATACCATTTATCTCTGTTATTTTATTTTTTTTGGTACCAGGGATCAAACATGGGTCCTTGCCATTGCGCATTATTTTATTTTTTTTTGGTACTGGTGATCGAACTTGGGACCTTGCGCTTGTGAGATAGGTGGCAGAACCACTGGGCTAAATCCTCAGCCCCTATCTTTGACTCAGATACTGCACTGCTGTGTCCTTATCCTGATGGCAAAATGCTTTTTCAAAGCAGGTAGCCCATGTACCCCCTGCCCCAGGTCATTCTAGAAACACTGACAACTTTCACTTTGAGTGGGGAGAGACAAGGTGGTGGCAAGCATCCACCACAGACTCCTCCATGCTAGACAGCCACCGTACTGGAGATTAACTCCTGCAGTGTGAGGTGGTGTGGTGGCCTGGGAAAGAGGTTGGGCTTCCTGGCCACACATGAAGGCTTGGGGTAGCAGCCATCCTGCTAGGACACTGCCAACTGGCTCAATGGAAATGTTTCAGTGTTTTATCAACAGAGAGCTACATGTCAGCCTAGTTCATTCCCTTCCTTACAGAGGGGACAGAGGCTCACATGGACTGGGGCTTAGATGGACAAGGTTAGTCTAAGGTCACTCAGCTTTCTTCTTTGATTGATATCAAACTCCAGGCTGTCTGACCCCGGGGCCATCTCCTGGAACTGTTGCAGGGCTGTCTGGCAGCAGAGGCCCTCTCTGGACGTGCATGGGATGTACATGGGATCTGCACATGGCCCAGGGCTGGGGAAGGGGAGACAGAGCACGGCAGCACCTGTAGTCAAAGTCTCCATCCTTGCCGTCTAGGAAGCGCTGGTGCATCCGGCTGGTGAACTCCTCCCGAAGGATCAGCTTCTCCTCTGAGTCGGGCACGCAGGCCTCTGAATCTTTGCTGGACTCCTGGTCTGTGGAGGGAGACACCAAGGAAGGGTGGCTTGGACATGAGTTCAGAGAGCTGCTTTTGTAGCTCAGTGGTAGAGCATTTGCCTAGCATATGCAAGGCCCTGGGTTTAATCCCCAGCACAGCAACAAACAAACACAAACAAGGAAATAACTGCCCCCACAACCCCAGAGAGCTGATGCTTCCATGACCCACCCCATGCCATGTGGCAGAGGGAACACAGCAGTGACTGCAACAGCCCAAGTCCCTGTCCTCCAGGGATGCACATGAAATACCTAATGACAGATTTCTGGAGATTGTATACCAAGGTCAGGACCGAGATATGAAGGCTAAGGAAGGCAGGCATTCATTTCTGCAGAAGGAATGAATATTGCACCAGGCTTTTGGAGAGTGCAGGGTAGGGATGCTGGAGAGATGGGAGGGGATCCCAGGATGGAGGGTCAGGGCAGGCAGGCTGGGGCCTGGCCTGGTGCCATGGAATGGAGTTGGGGCATCCAGACTCTGGGGCCTCCCTGCTGCTAGTTCTCACCTTCCTCATCACTGTCCTCCTCTTCTTCCTCCTCTTCCAAGCAGGCTTCTTCCTCCTCCTGCTGCTGTAGCAGCCGCTGCTGCAGCTCCCGCTCTTGGTAGGACTGGAGCAGTAGGTCGGAGAGTGGGCAGGTGGGATTGCTGGGGGAGCCAGGTCTGGGGGGCTGAGGGACCGGTGTCCGAGTGCTGAGCTCCTCCTGGGTGAGGTACTGCCCGATATACTGCTCATACAGCAGGGGGGCCCGGAACCGCATCTGCTCATCACTGAAGTACTCACCCCCTGCAGAGGAGAGCTGGGTGGGCATGCCTGGGTGGACATGTCTGTGCATATACCTGTGTGTGTGCGCATGCATGTGCATTCAGACACTGAGGGAAATATGTGCAGGCACCTGAAGTCATGTGGGCCTGAGTGCTCACTCACACCTCCACTGATCACACACATGTAACCAGGCCTGCGTCTGCCTGTGTATCCATGTGTCGAAGTATGTGTGCATGGGCAGAACTTATAAGCCTTTACCTACGGTGTGTTCGCACAGTCACATGTACAAACACATGTTCTTCTGTGTCTCAGCACATTGCCTTACAGGTACCTGTGTCTCTGGGAGTTGGCATGTGAGACAATAGACAGGTTGTGTGTGCCTGTTTGGGGAGCTTGTCTGGCTGCTAGTGTATTCACCTAGAGAGGCCAGCACTGTTGGACACATATGTGCATCCATCCATATGTATCTGACATATGTATGCACACAATAAGGTCAGGAGAGGAATCTGCTGTGTGTGTGCCTGATGGCAGCTGGACCATCTTATGTGGACATGTGCACAGGAGAGGCCAGGCCTCAGCTCTGACCTTTCCCCACAGTGGTCCTCTCTGCAGCCTCTCCCTCAGGTGGGCCTTGCGTACCCATCTGGGTCCTTCCTGGCTGCCTGTTTTTGCAGAAGCAGCTCTGTCCCCTGGGTAACAGTTAAACCTGCCACCGGCCCCTCCCACACAAAGGCCCTAGCCTGTCTTCAGAGTCCAGGGCCCACAACCCACCCAGAATCCTGGCTTCTGCAGCACTGTGGTCTGTGACTGTCCTTGTCCTGTTTGGCTTCCCCAGTCCTCCTCTCACCCTATCCCATCTTGAAATCTTCTATCAGATTCTGTTTCTGTCCTTCCTCCTGGCTCAGGAAGGTTGGGGCCTGGCTTGGTGCTATGGAAAGGAATGCAGTGACAACCCTCTCTCCCTCTGGGTCCCTTAGTTTCTCCCCATCTCCTGCGCTGTCCCCCTCTCTGCCTGTCTCTGCCATTTGTTTTCCCTGCTTTCTCAGTTTTGTCAGCTTGCTCTGCCACATTCATTCACTAATCACTGCCTTTCTTCATTCTTATTCCTCTACCTGTCCCTGTGTCTTGTTCTTTCTGTGTCAATCTCTCTAAGCTTGTATCTCTCCCATTTTCTGCTTCACTCATTTTTTTTTTTTTTTCTTTTGGTACTGGGGATTGAACTTGGGACCTTGAGCCTGCAAGGCAGGCGACAGAACGACTGAGCTAAATCCCCAGCCCCAGCTTCATTCACTCTTATCTGTTAACTGTGGTTTTGGTGTCTTTGGTCACATGATGGATGTTTTTAATTATGTCCAGGTCAAATGAGAATCTATGTTTTCCTTCATGGTTTTCACATTTTGCTCAAGGCCTCTCATATCCAAGTCATAAACATATTTCACTCAGTTTCCATTAGTGCCTTTGTGCATGTTGTGGGGTCAGGACCTTATGTTCCATAGGGACAATGAATTATCACAGTGTTGTAGAACACAACATAGAAATGTTTTCAGTCCACTTCTAAATGGGCCACTTCTGTTGCTTACTAAATTATGACCCCTTCTTACTGTGTGCCCCTTTTTTCCAGATACCACGTGTACCCACATCTCTTTTTGCTTTACTTCTCATTTCTGTCTCTGTGTTTCCCTGTCTCTTTGTCACAAAAATTTTCTCACAGTTGGGCATGGTGGTGCAGGCCTATAATCCCAGAACTCTGGGAGGCTGAGGCAGACGGATTGCAAGTTCGAGCCCAACCAATGTGGCAAGACCTTGTCTCTTCAATTCAAATACAGCAAAAACAAAAAATGGAAAATAACTTTTCTTAGAGGTTCCATTTCTGCTCTTGTATCCTTGTTTCTCAGTCCCTCTCTGTACCCTCACCCCCCAACTTCCCATCTCTGCCTCAGTCTTCCCTCCCACTCCATCTTTGCCTCCTTACACCCAGGAGCCCCTCACACCTTGGATGAGCTCACGCAGGGCAGCATAGCGCCGGTTTCTCAGGCGAGTGCGTAGAGCACGTGGCTGGGCAGTGCCCTGCCGAGCCACTTCAGCACAGTAGAAGTCGGCACGATGGTCGCCACGCAGGTGGCCAAAGCAGGCCAGGTGCTCCTCCCGGAGGCCTGTGCAGAAGCGCTCCAGGAACACCAGAGGCTTCTCATGGTACAGCTGGCTCAGGATGGCCACCTTCTCTTGCTCTGTCAGGTCAGGCTCACCTTGCTGCTGGCTGCACACAGGCAGGCGGCTGGCAGCCACAGCATGTAGCATGGCACTAACTGCCGCATTCTCAGTTCTGGGGGTGTCACTGTCCAGGGCCTCTGGTGTGCTCTCCATCACTTTCACTATGTCCTGGGGTTTAGATGGAACTGGTATCTGGTTCAGCTCCCCCCAATGCCCAGTTCTGGGCTCCATGCAGCCTGCAAGAAGGGAGATTTATTAGTTGAGGGATGGGACTACAGGAAGGGGAAGGAGTTGGGTAGGAAGGGGCTGGGGACTCACTCAGTTCATATTTACTGATCAACTACTATATTCTGGGCTCTGTTCTAGGTCCCAGAGAGACCACAGTAAGCAAAAGAATGACTTGTTTTTTTGTGGGGATCTAACTCAGGACCTTGTGCTTGCGAGGCAGGAACAGTGCCACTGAACTAAATCCCTGGCCCAAAGAATGACATTTATTTTTATTTTTTATTTATTTCTTTAGCTTTTTGGTACTGGGGATTGAATTCAGGACCTTGTTTGTGCTTGGGAGGCAGGTGCAGTGCCACTGAGCTAAATCCCTGGCCCAAGAATAACATTTTAGTGGGTACACACAACAGACAACATAAATACTGAAAATATATATTGCATAAGGTACCTCCCTGGCTATGCAAAAAAATAAGTAGGGAAAGAGGAGGGAATGGGGAATGACTGCAATTTTAAATGAAAAATCAGAGAAGGCTTTGCCAAAAAGTGACATCTGAGTAGAGATCTGAGATGGGAAGGAATGGAGATTTCTCAAATAAGAGTTCCATGCAGATGGAAGAGCCAGTGCAAAGACTCTGAAGCCTAGCTTACTGATTTACTCAATTCTTTGTCTTTTCACTTGCTCACATAATTAGGAATATATTCCTTAGTTTGTTCACTCATTAATTCATTCTCCTCTCTTCCTCACTCACATGTTCACTCAACCACACTTCAGCAACTTTAAATTTATGGAAGGCTCTGAGTCAGGCAATGTGGAGGATTCACAGGAAGAATTCAGTCTGGCTCTTGCCCTCAAGGAACACCCAGTTTGATGTGAGAAGCAGTCAAGATGAAAGATCATACAGGCAAAGATAACAGGAAAGGTGGGTGCTAGGCAAACCTTGGTGAGAGCTGTTTTCCAAGTATGGTGGGAAAATGCAGCAAACAGGAAGTAAGTGAAGGCAGAGAGCAGGCACAACTCCTTCAGAGCTTGGCTGGCATGGAGGGGGGCGGTGGATGATGGCTGCAGGTGTCATGGTTTCAATCACTGAGATAAGAGAAGACTGAGCTGGGGAGGGTCGGGCTGGGGAGGAGGGGGAGCGTGGCTGAAGAGGAAGAATTACGGAAATGCTCATGTAGCTGACCGGGCAAACCATGGGGCTGAAGGTTGAGAGGTGAGGGAGGCATCTAGGATAAAGTCCAAGACTTTGGCTAAGGCGATTATCAAACTGTTCCTGAGATAGAGACATGAACAAGGAGAAGGTGTGGGAAAAATACAAAGGGTGGTTTTGGACATGGAAGGTATGAGGGAGCCAGGGGAGGCATCTGAGAGACCGCTAGGTCACAGGCCTTCAGACTGCTCAGGACAGAAGTGCTGGGCAAGAGACAGAGTTGTGGGTGTCATCAGAGCCAAGACAAGAACTAAAGCAGAGGGAAATGAGAAGTGGGTGTAGGGGAGGGCAAGGAGGTGAGGGATGTAAGGGATGAGAGAGGAGGGGCTAGGAAAAAGCACTGAATAGATGGGAGAGGTCACGCCTGGGAAGGCCACATCTCAATCTCTGGAACCTGTAGCAGTTATTGGAAATGGGGGCAGGGAAAACAATCTCTACAGATGCAATTAAGGCTCTTAAAATGGGAGAGAGTATCCTGAATTATCCAGGTATGTCCTAAATGCAACACAAGTGTTCCATAAGAGAGGTTGAGAAGTAGGGCATGGTGGCATATGCCTGTAATCCCAGCTCTTGGGAGGCTAAGGCAGGAGGATTGCCTCAAGTTTGAGAATAGCCTGGGATACATGGCAAGACCCTGCCTCCAAAAATAAAAACACAAACAAAAAGTCACTCAAAGAATAATAAATAATGAGGAATTAAAAAAATAATTTTGAGACATGGTCTTGCTAAGTTATCTAGTCTGGTCTCAAACTTGTGATCCTAAGACTCCAAGTTTGAACCCAGCCTGGGTAACACAGCACGACCTTGCCTAAAAAAACAAAAAAGGCTGAGGAAGAGCGGACACAGAGAGAACAGAAAGCAGTATGAAGGGGGAAGTAGAGACTAGCATGATGAGGCCACCAGCCAGGAATTCCAGAACCCATCCGACTGGAGAGGCAAGGAACATCGGAGAGCTTGTGTGGTAGTGCAGCCTGGGGATACACTGCTATCACTCCAGTGCTACTGATTTCAGACTTCTGGCCACCCTGTTTATGTTTGAGCCCACCCAGTTTATGATAATTTGTTGTAGCAGCCATAAAAAACAAACGCAAAGGCTGAGAAGGAGGTACCTGATAGACAGGAGGGAAATCAGAGAATGGTGTCACAAAACCAAGGGAAAATTTACAAGAAGGATGGAGGGGTCAATGACACTGAGTCCTCCAAGTAATTTAGTAAGAAGAAAACTGTAAGAAGTGACTGTTTAACTGCAAATGGGGATAAGTCACTGGGGACCCCAACCACAGCAATTTTGAAGAAAAAAACCAGACTGCAGTGGATGGGAGGTAAGCAAATGGAGAGGAACATGATGCTTTGGAGAAGACAGATGGTGTCTGGAAGTCAGCATAGGGCCAAGGGATAGATTTTCTTTAGTTCAGAAAATAAAAAAAATTTAGGCTGGGAGCATAGTTCAGTGCTTAGCATGTATGGAGCCCTGGGTTCCATCCCCAGCAGTGAGAAGTAAAAAACAAAACAATAAAACTTTGTTATGAAAAATTTCAGGCACACAAAAGTATGGTAAACTGACACCCCTCTCCCCGCATTCATATACCCAGCATCCGGTTTCAACAATTACCAGTTTTTAGCTAATGGTGTTTGTTTTGTGTCACTGGGGATTGAACGCAGGCCTTTTGCACTTGAGCAACATACCCAGCCCTTTTTCATTTTTTATTTTTATACTGTCTTGCTAAGGCCTTAAGTTCCTCAGGCTAAACTCAAACTTGTGATCCTTCTGTCTTAACATCTCACAGAGTGAAGGGATTACTGGCATATGCCCAGCTACAATGGTGTTTCAAACAACTTCCCAACCACAGCTCATCCCACATAGGATTACTTTGAAGCAATGGGACAAATTGGAAAATGAGAAAAAAAAATTAGATATTAATGAGAAGACATCAGAATAAGTGAAAAACATCGAAGATGCAAGGGAAAGAAAAAGGAGATCAGAGAGATGGAGTAAGGACTTGAGGCAGACTGGATTGCGGACTTTGGGGGAAGGGGAGTTAGAATGAGACGAGGAACTGTTAGTCTGGGATAAACAGTTTGCATGGGACAGGAGGAGGGGTCGCCTGGCGCAAAGAAAAGCTCAGTTTGTCACAGAGAAGGAAGTAACCTGAAATGACGGGATGGCCTGAGACTGTGAGGGTGTTGGCCCAGGGCAGGGAAGAGGTTTATGAAACAGGTTATCCTAGGTTATGGAAAGAGTTGAAGTGGGAAAAGGTTAATTTCAAGGAAGAAAATGGAGGGAATGGAGGTCAGACCGCGGTAAGAGAGGGGACAAAATGGACAAGTGGTGGAGCGGACAGGTGAGGCTGAGAGAAGGTGTCCTCCCCCAGAAGAGTCCCCTTTCGCGGCACAGGGGAGCCATTTCTTGGTGACACCCCAACTTTACCCTCTTGATATGTCTGCGTGGTCAACATCTCACCCTCATTGGGTTCCTTGGCCTTCGCTGCCGCCGCCGCCACAGCCTCCATCCTGAATCTCTCTGACTTGTCAACTGCCTCAGTGAGCCCCGCTCACCGACGTCGACCCAGCGCACTGAATAGCCACTTCCGTCTGCGCACGCTCCAAGGGGTCGTTCGCTCCACTGCGCCCAGGCACTAAAGTTCCGGCTCGAAGCGGACCTGCCTATGCGCATGCGTGCTCTCCTGGGCCCCACCCTCCACAGCCAGGAAGCAAAGGACGCCGAGATGAAACTTCAGCCTCTCCTATCTGAAGATGGAAAATTAGGGAAGACCCCAACCATGGCTTATTTGTTCGTTGCTATTACTCTAGCTCCTGACGTGCTTAATATTGAGAATGGATGGTCGAGTGACCACCTTCCACTACACAGAGCTATCAGACTCAAGGTTTTGCTCATTTTTAGAATTCTATCACCTTCATTTCTTTACCACAAGTAGTAGTTAGTAAGACTTAACTCTTGTCATCAGTCCTCAGGTGGCATGAGATGGGTGGTGAGATCAAGGATAGAACTTCCCACTTTTGTGTTCGCACATCCTGGACGTAATGCACATTTGGAGGAAAAACTGTGGTCCTGATTTGAAGAGTAGACAGACATGTCGCCAGCGACAGGGTGGCCAGGCCTCTGATGGACCTGGGGGATCGGGGGTTCTACTTACTCCAGACTGGGCTGGAGACGATTTTCTGGAAAGGAAGCCTAGGCTGAGATCTGAAGGATGAGCAGAGTTCCTTAGGGTTTCAGGGAGGATAGCTGGCATGGAATAGTTCTGGTTGTGGCAAGCACTTCAGAATGGTCAGGGAGTAGAAAGGGGTTCTAGCTTGAAGGCCATGATTGGGCTGTGAAGGACTTCGGAGTCTCACTAATCTTTAGATAAAACTGTTAAGTACATGTACGAAGCAGAAGTTCATGGCATTCTAAGTTCCAAAAGAGATTTATGGCCTTCAAATGAAAGAACCACTGATCTGAATGTGAAATAGGGAGCACAGAGATGAAAGCCTTCGAGATCACCAGGTACCAGGCCATGCAGGGCCTCCTAAGTCTTATTAAAATGGCTTGAGCTCCGTTGTCCTCCAGGGATTGAGCCAGGGGATCAAGGTAAGGGACTGGAGATCTGAGAAGGCTTGTGTAAGAACCCAGACACTGGCTGAGAACAGAACTTATTTACGAGATCCAGAGATGTGAAGGCTTTGAGGGCCTGGTCTGCCAAACTACGCAGATATAAGTACAACGGTAGGCACACCAGGAGGTCACCAGAGGGCGCTATCACCCAACACATGCACCTGCGGCAAAGGGCCGAAGGTATCTTCCTAGAGTACCGAAGGTCTCGCTGTTCTCTTCTGGAGCAGGGTTCCTTTTAGCTAACTCTGGCCCTAGCTCATGTTCACATGCTCCACATCACAGCTCGCGTCAACTTCCCTATTTTTTCTTTTTCTGAGACAGGGTCTTGCTATGTAGCTCAGGCTGGCCTCAAACTCATGGGTGATTCTCCCGCCTCCTCCACTCCCCTTCACAAAGTTCAGAGCTCCTGTGAGGAAAGTGGGGCCTGAGTTGAGAAATGAAGCTGCTGAGAGGACAAGAGGCCATGGGGATGCAATCCCAAAGCTCACTCCTGTCCTCCCCCCATCTCTATGCTGTCACTTTATTGATGTTTTTTTTTTTCTCCCCAGTGCTGGGAATCAAACTCAGGACCTTGCACTTGCCAGGCAGGTGTGTTGCCACTGAGCTAAATCCCTTGCCTGATGCTGCCACTTTCAGATGACAAAGTGCATGTCCCCTATAGAACGGGAGCTTGGGGAAAACTGGGGATAAGACTACCTTGGTCATGCTGCATCCCCAGCACTGTCAAGGTCAGCAGAGAAGCGCAGGGACCCAATGCACATGAGCTGAGAAAGGAAGCTCCTGGAACTGCAAACAGCCTGGCCCATGGGGCAAGCCTGAGGTGCACAGCCAGGCAATATGCAGTGATGGCTCTGCTTTGGCTCTGAATAAAACAGCCCATTTCTATCCCATCAATACCATCTGTTCCTCTGTTGACAGACCTGTGCTTTCTAAGATATTCGTGAAGGGAGTTGAGACTGAGATAGACACTTTTAAAACAGTGCTGTGCTGGGCATGGTGGGGCATGCCTGTAATCCAGCACTCAGGAGGCTGAGACAGGAGGATGGCTCCAAGTTAGAGGCTAGTCTGGGCTACACAGTGAGTTCAAGACCAGCGTGAACTACATAGTGAGACCCTATCTCAAAAAACCAAATAAACTGAACAAAAACCAAAAAATCAAACAAACACTAGTGTAGGCCAGGCATGCCTGGAATTCCAGCACTAGGGAGGCTGAGGCAGGAGAATCACTGAGTTTGAGGCTAGCCTGGAATACAGTGAGACTTTGTCTTAAAAAACCAAACCAAAACAACTACTGGTATATTTTAAACTGCCGCCTGAGGTTAAGGGATACCCTCAGCACTAAAATCAGGGCCAGGCACAACAACTCCTTCAGTAAGCATTTGTTTAACAAATGAGTAAATCATTTTCCCTTGCACAGGCTCCCACCCAATTAAAGGCCAATTGCAGTAACACTCCAGGGTTTCAACCCCGCTTCCTTCCTGCAAGGAGGTGCCATGTCATTTATTGAAAGAAAACAAAACAGGGCAAACACATTTCTTAGTAAGTGCAGTTTGTTAAAATCCTGTTAAAACATTTGGGTCAAGGGGAAGTAATAATCAGAGGATCATGGTAGGAAAAACTTGAGATCTGGCCCCTGGGAGAGCCCTGGAGAGGGTGCACTGGGGGAAACTCCGTCTTCTGAAGGGAAGGAGCCCCCACCTTTCTTTCACCCTCTCACCCACTCAACGCCACCAGAAACTACCAAGACGCCGGGAATAAAAGTTCAAGTTCAATAGTCACACTCTCTCCAAATACAAAAAGCAGTTACAATTCAACTGAACAAAGAAGCTTGTGTGCAAAGTTACGGGGAACTGAGACATCATATAAAAAGTTAGGTTAAAGATGATTCTGTGGTTTTGTGTGTTTTGTTGTTTTGAGGGTGTGGCTCTTCCTTGGTCACCTGAACTCAGCAAGAAATGGTTATTCTGACAAAGTATCAATGGTTGACCGACAGTAAAAACAGACAAGTTCTTAAAAAAAAAAAAAAAAGCATAATTACCAAAAAAAAAAAATGTCACTGCTTCCTCCCTCTGCATTTTGCTTTTAAAACTTTTTTAAAAAAAGTTTTTGATTTTTTTTTTTAAATCCTGAAAAGTAGACAGTAAAACAGCTTCTGGAAGAATTTACAACCAACTGCATTAGGGTCTGGAGCAGGGTTGGGAGGAGTGAACAGGAAAAGGCCTTCCCTTTGGACACTGTGGCCTCACCATGTGACCAAGGGAGGGGGATTCTTCAGTCAAAATGGAGATGAGAAGGAACAGGAGGAGGAGGTGGGAGGGACAAACAAAATAAAAGGTCGCTGTGGCCTGTTTAAATCCAGAGAAAATTGCCTGGCCTGTGTGTGGGAAGATGCCCCTCAGAGGGGAGGCAGTGGGCTGAAGGGAAGCAACCCTGGGATGACCCCAACCCCAGCACCACAGGATCTGGTGGGTGTAGAGGAGAGGCCAAGGTAGGCGCTGGTGCAGGAAGCCGGCAGGGGCCTCCAGGAGCTTTGGACACACTGGCTACTGCGTGCTTGTGCCACCCTGTGTGCTGCCGGAGTAGCTCCCATAGTCGTAGTTCCCGTAGTACGGTGGCCACTGGGCCTGGTTCTGATAGTACTGGTTCCATTGCTGAGCATACTGTGGAGAGAGACCAAGAGCACCAAATTGTCCTCTGTCCATTCCACACTGAATTCCTCCCCTGGCCCACCCTTGCCTAGGGCAGAGATGGGTGACAACTGTAGACACCTGGGTCCAACAAGAAAGAAATTAAGGTACCTCAAAAGGACAAGTGGCTGAACTGATGTCACATGTATGGGCATTTAGGAACTAACTGCAGCATAGGTCTCTTGGCTTGTCAACCCAGTGCCTCTTCAAGTATCATATTCCAAAAATTGAAACAAAAAATAAACCCAGCAGGTATGGTGGCTTGGGTCTGGAGCCCCCTGGCCATGGTGCCGAAGCAGGATTTAGAAGCCCTGCTCTGCCAGCCCCGCCGTTCTGCTCACTGCACCACGGACAAGGTAGATAGCAGTTGTTTAGTTTCCACCCCACCCCCCACCCCGTACTGGGGATTGAACTCAAGACCTTGCGCTTGTGCTAAATCCCTGGCCAGATAGCAGTTATTTGAAAATTAGCACAAGCCAGGCTGTATCAATCCAAATGCCAGCTTGAGGCCAGGAGGCTACCCATCTTTTTAGGGGTAAGCAGGGACTGGAGTCTGGAAACACAAACTCAGAAGGGCCCCTGAAAATCTCCCCATCCCACCAGTGCCTTGTCACCTACCTGTTGATACTGGTTATAGCTGGGCTGAGGGTAGGTCTGTGCAGTGGGGGGCGGTGGTGGGGTATAGGGGGCTGGGTTGTAGCCACCATAGCTCCCGTAGTTGTAGGCAGGTGGTGGTGGAGGTGGAGGTGGTGGGGCTGTGTAGCCCTGGCTGTAACCTCCCTGGTTGTAGGGTGGCTGGCTGTAACTTGGCTGGAAAATGAAGAAAAAAAATCACAACTTCAAAGAGCCAGCTTACAACTTGGATGCAGTAAGGGCCTTTGTAAGCAGTTATCCCACAAAGGTATTTCCCTGGTGGAGGCTGTTTGGGGCAAGGAGGTAAGTCAGCTCTGACATGGCAGGACAAAGTAGGATGAAGGGCAAACCACTGGGTCATACTCTGGTCTTATCCCAGTGGAGACACCAAGGGAGCAAGCACATGGAATCTCTTTTCAAAAAACTTTGGCACTGCTAGGGTTCAAATGCAGGGTCCCAAGTGTGCTACGCAAGCACTCTATCACTGAGCTACAGATCCAGTCCCTCAGTTTCATTTTCTGTAATTTAAGAATCACAACAAATTGCCCATTCTGATTGCAGTCAAAGCTTTTGTGTACAAAACACTGGACACTTAATAAATGGTGGCAGTTGTCACTGAAGATCTGTTGAAAAAACAGCGGTGACAACTTGCTAAGTGCTTTTCATGTACAGTATGTACCATAAACTCATTTAATTTCTACGCTGCTGAGGGTTTATATCCAGCACCCCTCCCAGTGTCATGTGCTCATAGGTGGGGTGTTTCAAGGTGACTGGATTTGGGGATCTGGTCAGAAGGGGCAGGTTATTGAGTGTGTGGCCTGCAAGTGTTTGTCTCCCACCCTTGTTCCTGCTTTCATTCTTTGCTTTCCCCACCTGCCATGAAGGGAGCAGATATGAGCAGCTCTCCTCTGCCATGTGGCCCTGCTTGGAGCCAGTGGACTGGACTGTAACCGTGAGCCAAAACAAACCTCTCCTCCTTTTAAGCTGTGTTTCAGGTATTACCTCTCAGCAATGGATAATGACTTACAACACACAGCAACTCATAGGGAAGGTTCTACTAACTCCATTGTAGAGATGGAACCTGAGGCTTAAGAAGGTGAAATCACTGAGTCAAGGCCATACAGTTAAAAAGGCTTGACCTCAGGATTTTCCTAGTCACAGAGCCTTAATTATGAAGCTACAGTGACACCAGACTCTCACAACAAACCTCAGAAATGAGTTCTACTAATGCATTTAGTTCTTTACAGGAAAAATGAGGCCCGGAGGGGTGACTGTCAATGTCACAAAACTTGGAGACTATGGGGGTGGTGGTTTGAGGTTGTGTCTGTCCAACTTTATGCTAGGAAATTTTCTGGGTAAATCAAGAATCTGGGAACCACTAATGTAGCAGCTGCTCCCAGGCCAGGCACATGGAAGGTGCTTAGGAAATGGATGCACAATAAATGGAGACTGCTCTTGTTAGCAGGGTGTGTGCCACGGCCCTAGTAATAACTTTCCAAGACCTGAAATGGAGCTCAGAGCTGCTCAGGGGTGAAACTGTTGGCAGAGAAGCCAAGGAGGTCCTCAACGACTTTGGGCCCCTGGTCTCCAATCCTGAGGACAAGGAAACGAAATTCTTTTCAGCATGGAGGAGAGGTGACTCCAACTGAGTGCTTTCTTGGGCATCCAGCTGAGGCCAGCAACACAGCCAAGACATGAATGTGTGCTGAATGACTGACGCTTACAACCTATGCCTGGGGGTGGTGGAAGAGGAGGTTTGGGTATGGGCCATTTATTTCTGGGTTTAGAGGGATCTGGAAACTCTAGGGTCCAGCCAGGAGCACTACTTGGGGAAAGAAGGGCAAGCAGAACCAAACTATGTGTAACTGCCTCGGACCCACCTCCTCACCTGCTCAGGGTTAAGAACATACATGTGCACATCTGAATACAAATATATGCACAGGCCCTCACCTGTGGAGGGCTGTAGCTGCTGACAGTGGGGGTGCTGGTATTGGCGCCTGAGCCAGGGATGTTGCTGTTCTTGTTGTAGCTGCTGGCCCCTGGGAGGTTCCGAGCAGGGCTGTAGCTGGGTGGTGGCGGCGGCTGCTGTGGTGGTGGTTGTGGTGGTGGTGGCTGCTGTGGTGGTGGCTGTTGCTGGGGGGCCCGGTTGTAGCTGCCTCGGTTGTTGGAGTTGTTGTTATCCCGGTTGTTGTTACCCCAGCGGTTCTGGTTGTAGCCACCACCTCCACTGCGGTTGAAACCTGCATTGGAGAAATCCAGACCAGAGGCCCCATCATTCTCAGCACATAAACTCCAGGGACTGGGCTGCCTTATGACTGCTCTGGCCACAATGCAGTCAGGCTCAGAGCATTAGCTCAGTTAAAGTGAACAAATAAAGTACACCCTCTGGGCTTCTTTAGACCCCTGGTATACTCCCATCTCTCCCCCTGACAATTCTAGGTCATCACTTTCTGCTGACAGGTTTGTTTCACCCACTAGACTGTGAGCCTGGGGAAGCA